GTACCGAGAGACGCCAAAAGGTTTGAACATGTATTCTGATGTAAAATTGCCTCACGAATCCAAACAATTCAGTCTTACAAATCAAAGCCGTGGTTTTAGCCTACTACGGGGCGCTGAAGCTGACTCAGCATTTTCTTCAGGTAAACTGCTGCATCATTTCACATGGCATTCTATATATGTCGTCACGTACACTTAAATTATGTGATTTGACGTAAAATCTCCCTCCCTCACACACTGTTAGTTAGTTACTGAGTGAGTGAGACTGTTCTAGCGAAGATTAGTAATTGCGATGTTAGCTATATTCTTAGGAATATCCTTGAAACGATATCCAACGAAAGTCCAAACTCCAACAAGTATCTGATGTGTGTTTATTCAGACTACTTAGCGGTCCACACATTGTTATAACTGACGCTGGTTACCTCCCTTTGATGCTTTCTTCGAGTTCGTCCAGTTTTGTGTCATTGATCACTGGTGAGGTTTTGCTTTAATTCCACCTTTTGTAAAAATATGCAAGTATGCTAATTTATGTTATTTCGAAGAAAGGTTCATAATATAGGTACAAATGCAGTTATCTTTGTTTGACATTTGTAAATTTGTCCAAAGGAGAACTATAAAAACAATGTACAACTTCAAGTATCTATATGGAACTCTACCAAGTGGTCCAAAGTCCATGCACGCATATTTTTTTAACGTGTTACCACACCACCACCGTCGATCCTGGAATTCTAGACACATATCGAATACTACATTGCCTGGCACCAAAATGATTTTCAATGTCAGACACGAGCATATGATATAAACCAAGTCGGGGACTTTGGTCAAGTTTGGACTAGATTTGGCTAGGGTACAATTCGGCATACCGATGAATGATTCACATCTGAAGTAACAATGCTGATTCTCACACATTTAGCCTCACTCACCTACCTTTTTCCAGGTGAATGTCTGAAATGTGTATGATTCCCCTCCCAAATTAATCATAACTTGAATATTCATGTCATAACATCTAAGGGATTTAAAGGCCAGTCCCTGTAAGACTGTAAATCCTGACAGTTTTGTACCATCAAGTTATTATGACTGTCTGACAATACCATTAACTGTTATGCATTGTGACACGTTCATGATAAAATACCAAAATTCAAATTACTTTTGCAAGAGGTATTTTTAATGGGTTTGAGTTAACTTGTGTTAGTGTTTTTTCTTAACTACAGATGTGTTGTTGTGGTCTGTTATGTGCAGTCCTGAACCACATTATTATCCTTCTGTCCAGCCCTTTCTGCAATGTCTCTACTACTCACTGTTACGGAAGGATAAGACAAATAGATGAACAAATTGTTTATTACAAAAGCAGCAACATTTCACTGAAGTTCTCTCACCGTGCTCCTTCCTTAGTAGGGGTGTCACGATACGCGAATGTATCGATGCATCGATACATTTTTACTGACGATACGATACGGGATACATGCTTGCATGTATCGATTCCTATTTTAAAACTTTATCGACTCAAATTTTTATGCTTTATCCATGTCCTTCGAAGTCTTGATAGTAAAATTATACGAGATCGCTCCGATAAATAGATGTAGCTAGCTTTACTTAAAAAATAGGTTGAAAACTAACAGCTTTTGTGATTGGCTAGACTATTTTGATGGACCAATCAGCGAGCGCGTACGTTGCCTGTAACGTAATGCTATGAAAAGGCGCGAAAATTATGTATCGCGATATGTATCGCATCGTGACCTTAAAATCGTGATACGTATCGTATCGTGAGATTGGTATATCGTGACACCCCTATTCCTTAGCCTCTCAAAGAACTGAACTGATGTGAACTTTCTTCGTTAGACTATTGACAATGCGTAAACTTGTGTAATTAAAGAATTTTGTAGTGAGGGCTTTTAAATCTAGTCATGCGAAGGCTGGTTGACAATGTTGGAAAATGATGAAAATAAATATGGATCTGTATGCTCCACTGCCTTATATATGGTAATTTCAGCCATCAGTATCATTTATCACTTGCTTGACAAGTGAAACAGTGCATTGATTGAGATTGAGATTGATTGAGAAACAATTGTATGTCATTAGAATTATCTCCCTTGTTAAAACATAACTACAGTTGTCATACAGTCTAAGTAAGCTTAGTCTCAGTATTATTCGTTACACTGCTATGTTGAGTCTAACAAACCCTTTGAGCGACCTATGACTGTCCAATCAAATGCGAGACGGCCGAACAGATTTTTACCAATCAGACAACAGCTACTGTTTAGGGTTCAGCAAGACTTACAAAATTGCCCGGTCACTGACACTGATCTCTCAACAAAAACGAAAATCCGTATACAACACATATATTTGACCTGCAGTATATATGCTTAGGGCTTTCTGATGACATGGTTTCAATTAGCTAATATTTCCGCAAGCTGACATCCTAGAATACTGACAAAAACACTATTTTCAGCGACTGTTTACTAACTGTTGTGGCGTGCTCTATGTGCATCACTCGAAAGCGATTGTACGGAAAATAGCATTCGTTCGGGTACAAACTTTTTGAGGTAAAAGTACAAGAGGTATGTCCGAATGTCACCTTTCGCGATTTGGTAAGCTGTGTTCTGATTGGTCAGTTGAAAAGGTTTGCTGAAGCGACTTTCTACTAGGGTTTGTTAGACTCAGTATAAGCAGTGCAACGAATAATACTGAGTTTAAGTTAACTTAGACTGAGTTGTCATAGCATTTTCCTGCATGCAAATCGTTTAGATTCATAGTATTTAAAATGAAATATATTTTTTGTCGAACAATGTAATAATAAATATTTTTCATCTTTTTTTTATTTCAGGTTGTACTTGTGGTTCACACATGGGAAGTAGGTAGATCCAGCTCTGTATTGGTGTGTTATGGAAGATGTCTAACATACTTTTTGCAATGTCAAGATCTGTGTTTCGATCCAACATTGTCGCCCCATACCAGTCCGTCGCCATGTTGTCCTCCTCAGCACGCAAACAAGGGAAGGCAACTCCTACAAAGACCAAGGCTGTAATCTTTGACATGGGCGGAGTTGTCATCCCGTCACCAATCGAAGCCCTGAAAGGTTGTTATCAAAAACTTTCAAAACTGTCCTTTGTGTCTTTGTGCATTTCTCCTTCTTTCGATCCCCATGTGGAAACCAGTGGTCACCATGGCAACAGCTAGAATGTGTTTGGTTGAGGTGTATTTTGGAAGGTGGAAATTGGTCCAAATTTCTGCATAGGGATGGAAAGAAGAATGAGAAATGCAAGTGTGAAATATTCTTAGTATTCAGTTATGTACACAAGTTTCAGTGTTGATATTTCAACAAGTACTATTATGCAATATGACAACAAGTTCACAACAGCTTTAGTTTTCTGTGTTGATCTTCAAATTAATTATTGTCAGTCAACAGGAATGATCAGCCAGGAAGGTCTGAAATGATACAGCTCATAGGTGGCACAATAATCTGCAACTGCAGAGTTGTGTCCCTTGGGCGTGTCAGAAACTTGTAAATATGGGTGTGAGTTGTAGTTTGACCTGATTATGTCTCTAGATTTATCAACATTATACCTGTTCTCCCGGGTTTCAACAAAGTGGTAAAAGTCTGAGATGCTGCAAGCAACTTTTTTTGTGTGATATTTATATACTGTGCAGTTGCCTTACAAACCTGGAAGATGGAAATGGTTTTCCACATTTATGTATTTAGAATTATTTGAATGGAAGATCAATGCTGATCAGGAGAGCTGACCAATCATTGTGTGATCAGGCTCATTGACTTTGTTCTTTACCGGGCATCATACCATTTTGCCTTGATCGTTGCACCCAATATGTATCATTGGATTGGCTGGTCGAGATTTGATTATTTACATTCTGCTGTCAAATAGCCTTAATATTGATGAGTGCAGTGTAATCCACAAACAAATATACCAAACCAGCTTCAGAATGTTGATGGATAAATGGTAAGTGATATTTGATGTGGTGAGTCTCTGGTTGATGTGGTGAGAGTCTGTTTGAAATGGCTGTTTGATTGGGAGAATGTGAGCTGTTTGAAGGGTCTAATCTGTTTGAGGTTAGGGGTCTTTTTAATGAGCTGTCTGATTGATGTGGCAAGTGTTTCATGTAACAAGAATATGTTTCTTCTGTGGAGACAATATGGCATTGTGTGTCTGTTCTATTACTTCTAGAGGTGAGTATTGTGGTGAATCTCTGTGGTTGATGTGGTGAGTCTATGGTTGATGTGGTGTTTTATGTGGTGAGTCTCTGTTTGATGTGGCGAGTCTCTGGTTGATGTGGTGAGTCTGTGCTTTATATGGTGAGTCTATATTTGATGTGGTGAAACTGTTTTTGATGTGGTGAGTCTATTATTGATGTGGTGAGTCTCTTGTCAATGTGGTGAGTCTGTGGTTGATCTGGTGAGTCTGTGATTGATGTGGTGAGTCTATGTTTGATGTGGTGAGTCTGTGATTGAAGTGGTGATTCTGCGATTGATGTGGTGAGTCTGTGATTGATGTGGTGAATTTGTGGTTGATGTGGTGAGTCTGTGATTGATTTGGTGAGTCTGTGGTTGATGTTGTGAGTCTCTTGTCAATGTGGTGAGTCTATGTTTGATGTGGCAAGGCTGTGATTGATGTGGTGAGTCTGAGGTTGATGTGGTGAGTCTGTGGTTGATGTGGTCACTCGTCTCTCTTTTATGTGGTGAGTCTCTGTTTGATGTGGTGGGATCTGTGGTGAGTTTGATGTGGTGAGTCTCTGTTTGATGTGGTGAGTCTGTAGTCAATGTGGTGAGTCTGTGATTGATGTGGTGAGTCTGTGATTGATGTGGTGAGTCTGTGATTGATGTGGTGAGTCTGTGGTTGATGTGGTGAGTCTGTGTTTGATGTGGTGAGTCTGTGATTGATGTGGTGAGTCTCTAGTCAATGTGGTGAGTCTGTGATTGATGTGGTGAGTCTGTGATTGATGTGGCGAGTCTGTGATTGATGTGGTGAGTCTGTGATTGATGTGGTGAGTCTATGATTGATGTGGTGAGTCTGTGATTGATGTGGTGAGTCTGTCCTTGATGTGGTGAGTCTCTAGTCAATGTGGTGAGTCTGTGATTGATGTGGTGAGTCTGTGATTGATGTGGTGTGAGTGGTGAGTCTGTGATTGATGTGGTGAGTCTGTGATTGATGTGGTGGGTCTGTCCTTGATGTTGTGAGTCTGTCCTTGATGTTGTGAGTCTCTAGTCAATGTGGTGAGTCTGTGTTTGATGTGGTGAGTCTGTGATTGATGTGGTGAGTCTGTGATTGATGTGGTGAGTCTGTGGTTGATGTGGTGAGTCTGTGTCCTTGATGTTGTGAGTCTGTGATTGATGTTGTGAGTCTCTACTCAATGTGGTGAGTCTGTGATTGATGTGGTGAGTCTGTGATTGATGTGGTGAGTCTATGTGATTGATGTAGTCTGTGGTGAGTCTCTGATGTCTGTGAGTGATGTTGTATGTCTGTGATTGATGTGGTGAGTCTCTCTGTGGTGAGTCTGATGATGGTGAGTCTCTGGTTGATGTGGTGACTTGGTGAGTCTGTAGTGGTGTCTGATGTGGTGAGTGATGTTTGATGTTGATGTGAGTGTGGTTGATGTGGTGAGTCTGGTGAGTCTGTGATTGATGTGGCGAGTCTGTGATTGATTTGGTGAGTCTGTGTTTGATGTGGTGAGTCGGTGATTGATGTGGTGAGTCTCTGATGTGGTGAGTCTATGTTTGATGTCGTGAGTCTGTGTTTGATGTGGTGAGTCTGAGGTTGATGTGGTGAGCCTGTGATTGATGAGGTGAGTGTATGTTTGATGTGGTGAGTCTCTGGTTGATGTGGTGAGTCTCTGGTTGATGTGATGAGTCTGTTTGAAATGGCTGTTTGATTGGGTGAATGTGAGCTGTTTGAAGGGTCTAATCTGTTTGAGGTTAGGGGTCTTTTTAATGAGCTGTCTGATTGATGTGGCAAGTGTTTCATGTAACAAGAATATGTTTCTTCTGTGGAGACAATATGGCATTGTGTGTCTGTTCTATTACTTCTAGAGGTGAGTATTGTGGTGAATCTCTGTTTGATAGGGTGAGTCTCTGATGAGGTGGGTCTATGTTTGGCCAGGTGTCCTCATGATGACTTGTACAATTCCAGATAGTTGAGTCCTGTGTTGAGGGAGTAAGGAAGCCGGACCCCCGCATCTACCACACCTGCCTGGAGAGACTCAAGGTAGCCCCAGCACAGGCCATTTTCTTAGATGACATCGGCACCAACCTGAAGCAAGCCAAAGAACTGGGCATCCGCACAATCAAGGTAGAATAAGCTTGTCTCTACACAGGATCACAAGTAAAACATATATATGTTGTCCATAGTAGATTCATGAGGCAGTCATGGATAAGGTATCATTATGTAAGGCAATATTGATATGAACATGTATTAGATCACTGGTATGGCATTTGGTATGATAAGGATCACTGGTATTATCCACTGGCATGATAAGAATCATTGTGTCCTTGGTATTAGGGATCATGATATGATAAGGCATATTGGTATAATAAGGATCACTGTATTAGGTACTGATATAAGGCAATATCGGTATGATAAGGATCCTTGGTTTTAGGTATCACTGGTATGATAAGGCAATATTGGTATGATAAGGATCACTGGTATTAGGTATCACTGGCATGATAAGGCAATATTGGTATGATAAGGGTCCTTAGTATTAGGGATCATTGGTATGATAAGCATCTTTGGTATTGGAATATTAATAATGAGTTGTAACAATGTTCAGTGTGTAAAATAAGCCCAAAACCCAGCCAGCCAAAGTGGATTTAACCAGACCAGACAATCCAAAGAAAACACCCCAACTTTTAGTTATAATGAATAATTTAATGAATAGTCTATTCACAACAGTCATTTTCAAAGAAATCCGACTCTGAGTTTGCCTAACTCCATGCATCGATAGGTGTCGCTGCTTTAGTGATAATATATGTCACCACAGTGCTCTGAGCTGGTTCAATGATACTTCAGTGTTCAAACAGTAATTGTCAAGTTTAAATGTAACACTCAATTTGAAAAATAGATTTGAAGATATGGTGAATTTACTCAGATGATTGGAAGATGTTATCTGAAATATTTACCAGTCCATCGGGCTGGCTAATTTTGAATTCAGACCATTCGTCAGAAATCTACACTGCAATGTTTTGTGAGTCTCTTCATAAATATGATAAAGTAATCAAGGGTTACCATGGTAATAGGTAGAAGATCCTGACCAGGCAGTTCTTGCACTGGAGTCTGAGCTGGGTCTAAGTCTTCGAGGATATGTAGCCGGAACTGCGTCTGTGCCGCCTCATCTAGCCCTGCCTGTAGACAGTCTGGAGTCCTACCTACAGTCTCACCTCAATCTGACATCTCAAGGTAAGCTGATCTCAATCTGTCCTACATCTCATCATCTCTATCTCATCTAGCCCTGCCTGTAGACAGTCTGGATGTCCTACCTACAGTCTCACCTCAATCTGACATCTCAAGGTAAGCTGATCTCATCTAGCCCTGCCTGTAGACAGTCTGGTGTCCTACCTACAGTCTCACCTCAATCTGACATCTCCAGGTAAGCTCATCTCATCTAGCCCTGCCTGTAGACAGTCTGGTGTCCTACCTACAGTCTCACCTCAATCTGACATCTCCAGGTAAGCTGATCATCTAGCCCCTGCCTGTAGACAGTCTGGTGTCCTACCTACAGTCTCACCTCAATCTGACATCTCAAGGTAAGCTGATCTCATCTAGCCCTGCCTGTAGACAGCAGTCTGGTGTCCTACCTACAGTCTCACCTCCTCAATCTGACATCTCAAGGTAAGCTGATCTCATCTAGCCCTGCCTGTAGACAGTCTGGTGTCCTACCTACAGTCTCACCTCAATCTGACATCTCAAGGTAAGCTTATCTCATCTAGCCCTGCCTGTAGACAGTCTGGTGTCCTACCTACAGTCTCACCTCAATCTGACATCTCAAGGTAAGCTGATCTCATCTAGCCCTGCCTGTAGACAGTCTGGTGTCCTACCTACAGTCTCACCTCAATCTGACATCTCAAGGTAAGCTCATCTCATCTAGCCCTGCCTGTAGACAGTCTGGTGTCCTACCTACAGTCTCACCTCAATCTGACATCTCAAGGTAAGCTGATCTCATCTAGCCCTGCCTGTAGACAGTCTGGTGTCCTACCTACAGTCTCACCTCAATCTGACATCTCAAGGTAAGCTGATCTCATCTAGCCCTGCCTGTAGACAGTCTGGTGTCCTACCTACAGTCACACCTCAATCTGACATCTCAGGTAAGCTTATCTCATCTAGCCCTGCCTGTAGACAGTCTGGTGTCCTACCTACAGTCTCACCTCAATCTCCAGGTAAGCTGATCTCATCTAGCCCCTGCCTGTAGACAGCCTGGTGTCCTACCTGACATCTGACATCTCCAGGTAAGCTCATCTCATTTAGCCCTGCCTGTACACAGTCTGGTGTCCTACCTACAGTCTCACCTCAATCTGACATCTCAAGGTAAGCTGATCTCATCTAGCCCTGCCTGTAGACAGTCTGGTGTCCTACCTACAGCCTCACCTCAATCTGACATCTCAAGGTAAGTTCATCTCATCTATTCAGATAGGTTTCACTATAGCGCCACTGGTTTCAGGACCCCCGATACTGAGGGCCTTCAAGCATGGCCAGTCCAACCCAACCTACTTCCTCAACTATGGAGGCAGAAATATGGTCCTGAGGAAAAAGCCAGTGAGTTACAAGAACTATCTGATACAAATGATGATAGCATAATGACTTTCCTGTTTTATTAAGCCACACATTTCTTGAAAAGTCTGTATGAAGACCACCGTGTTTTCTAATGCACAAATCAGGCCTGACAAAATCAATCTGAGGATAACTGGTGACATGACAATGGGTTAATTGCAATAACTTCAACAAAACTTATTGTCATATGTCCCACCGCGTCCCGTGGTGTAAAAGGTTAGAGCATCCGCCCTGGAAACAACATTTGCCACGAAGACTGGTCCCCAACCACAGCATGGTATCTCAGTGGGCTAGCACTATAAAACCAGCTTCAGTCTGGGCTAGTACAAGCAGCCGCACATACACATACACAAGCATGCACGTCGTCATATGAGTGAAATATTCTCAAGCACAACGTTAAACGCAATTTCAACTCACCTCATCTTGTCATATGTCTTGTCAAATTGGCTCCAGCCACTCATCATCATGTGTCCTCTCGAAGTTCCGGGTTAAGCTGGTCCTCAGCAACCCATGCTTGTTGTAAGAGGCGACTAACCTGATCTGAAGGTCAGTCTCAATGACTTGGATGATGCATGTCATTGTATCCTGCTGGCATAGATTAGTGCTTGTTATGTCAATCGTAGGATAGTCTGGTCCAAATATAATTTATAGACCATCGGCATTGAAAAACGAACAAACGTTGTCATGTCTAATGTGTTTCATCCAGCCTGGCAAGCTGCTACCATCCGCCCATGCAGTGGACCGAGAGTATCAGGTGATGAAGGCTGTCGGGGAAAATGGCGTCCCTGTCCCTAAGATGCTGGCTTTCTGTAATGATGAAAGGTGATTCATAATCAACAGCCTGTTGATGTACCTTTTAACTATAACCTAGAATAGCAGTGGGGTTGTGGGGTAGCCTAGTCGGTAAAGCAAGTGTCAGCTCGTCAATGCCCGAAGACCTGGGTTCAATTCCCATAATAGGTACAATGTGTGAAGCCTATTTCTGGTGTCCCCTGTGATACTGCTTGCATTTGCCACAAAACTCACTAAAACTAAACTCACTCACTCACTCACTCAAACAGCAGTTGCTATGTTCCTATGAGTTAGCTGTAAGCTTAGTTTACTGTCAGTGTAAATGATCAGGGGCTCCTTTCACAAAGCACTGAGGTGATGGTAAGTCACTAAGGTAACCTTGTGCAATGTTAAAGAATAGGAGTTAAGATTAACCTTAATAAAGGTTGCTTTGTGAAAGGAGCCCCTGATCACCAATACTCTAAAGTTGACTATGGCTTGGCTTGGATATAATCCATTCTGCATCTCGCTGTGGTAAATAACATAAGTTAAAATTAAAAACATTCCTTTTTTTTAAAAATTCATATTTATGAACGATTTTAGTACCATGAATAATAAACTCAATGCCTGAACATTTATACGATTCGATCAACTGACTGACTGACTGAGTTTGGTTTTACACCGCTTTTAGCAATATTCCAGCAACATCACAGCGGGGGACACCAGAAATGGGCTTCACACATTGTACCCATGTGGGGATTCGAACCCGGGTCTTCAGCGTGACGAGCCAACGCTTTAACCACTAGGCTACCCCACCGCCCCACGATCAACTAAATATGCAAGTCAATTGTAGCAGCCCAATTAAGGAAGTGTCTGGGTAGTCCTGTTGGTAACACTAAACAGGTCCTACTCAACACCCACCAAACCTATTACCTATCCCAGTCCTATTCAGTGGCACCATTGAACACATGCAGACGAACGCAAAACAGTTTCTCTTACCTTTTCTTTCTATCCATCGGTTCCCAATTGCGTAGATCGATGCTCATGATGTTGATCACTGGATTGTCTAGTCCTACCTCGATTATTTACAGACCGCTGCCATATAGCTGGAATATTGCTGAGTGCGGTGTAAAACTTAACTCACTCGCTCACTCACTCTTCTTTCTATCAGTAATGTTCACAAGTTGTTCACTCATGACAGAAATTTGACTATTATAATAATTTCCCAATAATTCCTTTGTTAATGTAAGTTCTGTATGATTTTTGCTCTTTTTATGAATTATTTACATTTTTTAAGACTTACATTATTTATGTTGGGGATGTAGTTTAAAAATGACAATAGTAGTTGGTCAAATAGTAGTTGGTGTCTGTTTCAGTGTCTATAAAAAGTTTATTGCATAGAGCGATGTTTCAAGGTTGATTCTTACACTTAGTTCATGAATTGATACTCTTCAAGTTGTGGAATATGCAAGTGAATTGTAGCAGATTGATGCTCATGATGTTGATCACTGGACTGTCTGGTCCTGACTCGATTATTTACAGACCGCTGTGAATTGAAGCAGTCCACACTGGTGTCTGAAGCATAGGACATTATGGATAACAACTTCTTCCTTGCATAGAGTGATGTTTCAATGTGGAATGTACTCTGTTATCATGCCAAACAATCATTATTTACTCACCAAATGCTAGAATGATGATCAAATAATCATTTCAGTGTCATTGGGACCCAGTTCTACCTCATGGACTACGTACCAGGGAGAATATTTGAGGACTTCTACCTGACAGGGATGAACTTTGCAGAGAAGAAGGACATCTACTCAGCCATGATTGATGTTCTCTGCAAAATCCACTCCGTGGATATCAGCAAAGCTGGGTTGGAAAACTATGGGAAACAAGGTATCATGAAGAGCTAATCTACTACTGGTTGTTTAGAACTTTTACATAGACTTGTAAAACTGGAAGTCATGACGACTTGACGTTTTGTTTGGGTTTTGGTGTGGTTTTGTTTTTGTGGGTGTTTTTTGGTTTGTTTAGGTTTTGGGGTTTTTTTAAATTTATTGTTTTTTGTTTGTTTGTTTGGGTTTTTTGGGGGGGCTGGGGGGTTTTTGGTGGGGAGAGAGAATTGGTTTTTAGATGTGAGTCATAATTTTCCTAGTATGCCTGTCTGCTGTCATATTCGCTGTGACTGATGAAATAGTTAATGCTGATTGTCTGCTGTGTGTAGTCTACCAACACCAGTAATTACCGTATATAACTGTAGATAAGTCAAATTTTGAGGACCCCAAAAACCATTGTGTAGGAAGGGGGTCGGCTTATCTACAGGTTACACTTTCATCAAACTTCATATTCGATTGGTAAGAAAACAACATTGTATCACTTTGTGTGAACGAACTAGAGAAAATGACTTTGTCTTTCCTCACTGCCACCAGCAGCAGTTTTCGAGGTGTGAGACAGCAGTTTGTAAATAGACAATACAATCCAGTGATTGAAATCATGAGCATCATGGTACACAATGGGATATGATGGCATGCATCAGCCAAGTCAGCGAGACTGATCACCAGATCCCTCTTATTCCCGCTAGGCGAGGGTTGCTGAAGACCGAGTCTAACCCAGATCTTCACTGGGTTTGTTTGTTGCTTAATGCCTGACTCAGGAATATTTCAATGGTTTCTGATGTTCAGATTTGCTTTCAAGGTAACTATATGGAACGGAACTTCAAGAGATGGGCCAAGCAGTACGAGGCAAGCCAGACGAGAGAGATACCATCAATGACAAAACTGATGGAATGGATTCCACAGAACTTTCCCAAGGACGAGAGAGTGACTGTTGTACACGGGGATTTCAGGTAGGGAACGAAAACACATATAACTCCAGGGTTCTTCAAATACCCAGAGAAGGGAAGGTCGGTGCTTCCATTCCCTGCTGTGTCATGCCATAATATACTGAGAGAAACAAATAAATGATCACAGGAAAATTCAAGCGTTCCTTTTACAGTGAAACCTGCCAACACCGGCACCTGTCTAATCTGGCACACTGTCAAAACCGGCATAAACTTTTGGTCCCGCCATTTTACAATGATATTATGATCATTAAGACATTGTCTAATCCAGCACCTGTCTATTCCGTATTCCGGCACAACTTTTCGGTCCCACCAAGCAATTTTAACTGTAATTAACACTGTCTAAACCAGCATGGGTATGAGCAGTCCAACCAAGCACCCTTAATCCAATACACTAATTAATCCTCTTGGCACGCTAGATAATCAGGAAGCTAGATTGTGCGATGAATCAAACCCTCTAAGCCGGCATGGGTATGAGCAGTCCAATCATGGTCCCTTAATCCAATACACTCCTTTCGGCATGCTAGATTGAGAAACTGAAGCGTGTAAATGGCAGCCATGTTGGTAAATGATCGTCACTATCTAATCCAGCACCCTGTCTAAACCAGCATTTTTTTCCGGTCCCGTGGGGTGCCAGTTTAGACAGGTTTCACTGTATATTTTCCAGCTTTCATCACCAGCTTTGAATAGCGCTGTGGTGATGAAAACTGGAAAATAATAAAGGAACGCTTGAATTTTCCTGTGATCCTTTATTTGTTTCTCACAGTATATGTAGAAAGACAGTACTTGCTGTTACCCTGCCTGGTGATTGGTGGGGGATTAAACAAGGTCTGGTCAGCTCAAAGTCAGTTTATTGTGTCTGAGTGGGGCTGTTATACTGTGGCATGGTGTATTACCTGGCTGGCACTATAAGATCTGCTTTAATGTGGACTACGAAAAAAGTGCTATAATCTTGGACTAGATTTTCAAAGCAATCTTTGCCCTAAAATTATTGTAAAGTTATTGTAAGGAAATTTTAGAGGGTTGTAGCATATTTTAGAAACCGTTGCAGGGCTCAGATACCATAAGATTGATGTCAACATCTGTTGTATGTTTATTTTATCTTCATCTGCATACCTTGCAAGAGATATTATTTCATATACTTCACACTGAAAATCTGACAATTTCCCCTGTTTAACTATGTAATCCAAATTGTCCTTTCAAGCATACAAAGATGGCATCAAAGATTTCACATAAAAAATAGTGTTCATTTGTGATCTCAAACCCCATAACGATGGAGGCAATTGTGTAAAATATATTTTCTATCCAAGTCTATTCCAAAGTAAGTGAGAAACATCATCCATTTTTGACTAATCCGGACTGCTTTATAATCTGGACAAATGAGTCAGTCCTAGGCCAGTCTGTAATAGACAGATTCCACTGTATATGTAGGATGCATGTAAGATCGTGCGGAAAGTCACGCACATGGATGTCACCTGACATTGTGATCATGAATTCAGTATTACATTGATACAGTATTGTCCACGGCGGGAAATCCAAATGATGCCATTGGGAAACAACCTGTTTTTTCAATTTCCACGATGTTTTCAGTTTTCAGTCATAGTTACGCTAGGTATCGTAGCTTTGTACAGTCTGCAACAGGTTTACAACAGCTTTGAAAATGGATCTTAATTTTGATCTTATATTCTTAGGATTAATGTTAGCTAAGATCGTTTGAAAAATCAAGGCTCCTGAACGGAACATTAAGCTCTGTTCTACTTCTGTCCAAGATGGCCTAAACTGTCCAGGGTTTGACACAGACTTTGAAAAATGGGAGTCATGGTGACTCACAGTATTTATTTTTGGGAGTCATTTTCATTATTTGGGAGTCATGAAAATTTTAATGTAATATTTCTTTGTGTCAATCGAACAGCAAGATTTTTGCAAAGATTTTCTTGCTTAGTGTTGTATTGTCATTTAAATGATTAGGTAGTAAATAGTCTGTCCTTTGTCCTAATAGCGACAATTAATATGAACATTATTATCGGCCATTTTATTTTGAATAAATTCAAAGCAATATACATTATGGGTATTACACCTTATTGTTCAGAAACACAAAGATTTCTACACCATACTTGAGTTAGACTGGGCTGGTTCTCATCCTCATATAGAGGGGAACGTTGGGGTAGTCTAGTGGTTAAAGCGTTCGCTCGTCAAGCTGAAGACCCGGGTTCGATTCCCCACATGGGCACACTGTGTGAAGCTCATTTCTGGTGTCCCCCGCTGTGATATTGCTGGAATATTGCTAAAAGCGGCGTAAAACCATCATCACTAACTCACTCATATAGAGGGGTTGTTTTTGTACAGTTATTGTACAGACGAAAGCAGTTTACGATGACATAAACGTTATTCCTGTCCGTGATAATATGTAAAAGACTGAAACAAACAAAAAGTTCCAGTCAGAACACAATCTAGAAGCATTTTGATAATGCAGAATTGAACAGTGTAACGACAATATAACTACAGTGAAGCGCTAGCGTGGCTGATACCTTGAGATTTTACGTGCGCTTCAAATTGACAAATTGGACATGAAGGCTATGTGTACTCATTTCTGACAATATTAAAATATCTTGGTAAAAATATCTCTGTTTACACTACACAAGAATATGCTAGCACTATAAATAAATATAAAATACCATTTATAATACTAACTTACTCTGAACAGAGCTCAAACATACTGTAAACTAATTTGAATCACGACGCTGCACTGGGCGGGAATGAAAAACCGATGCGGGTGCACATTTTGACGCATCAACAAACCTTATGAAAACTGACATAATGTCAGACATGTAAAAACTGTTATAGAAACAACATCTAGGTAATATACTACTCAAAACAAGTTAAGGGTCAAAACTTTTAATGGCCATAACTACAAATATAAATAACAGTGAAATGTAGCGATCATTTAACAACTCGAGCCAACATTTCATGATAACCATAAAGGGAGACAAAAACAGCAGGAATGTCAGTGATTGCTAGTCAATAAGGTCAAAGTGACCTACTGTCAGAAGTGAAAATTCAAACGCCAACATTGGACTAATAACAGATGTAACCACCTCGAGCAGTAAGACAAGCAGTACACCTCTGTCTCATACTGTTCACCAGACGTTGGAAGAAGGCTTGGGGTATTGTCTGCCATTCTGCAATGAGATACTGGGCCAGTTCTGCACGGTTGTTTGGAGGGGCGTGGTTGTTATGAAGCCAACGTCCTAACTCGTCCCAAGCATGTCCATAGCAGGGGTGGAAATAACTTTAAAATTGCTAGTGTACTCCGGTACAGTGGCAGATGTCAAATCACTTGCCCTGATAATTTTTCCACTCTACTGGCCTTTTTCTTGTTGACTTTTTAAATAAACAACATAATTAACGTTGGAAAGTCAACTGGACACCGGTACAGTGTGGTATACAAATTTGCTTGCCCAACAGAAAAAAACACTGAACTCGGACGTCGGGCAATGGGTTATTTCCACCCCTGCATAGGGGCTAAATCTGCTGAATATGCATTCCATGTGCTGAACCTTGTTCTGTTTAAGGAAGTCCGTCACAACATGGGCACGGTGTGGTCGGGCATTGTCATCTTGGAATATGGATCCGACACCAATATGTTGTAAACATGGCAAAACAAGGGGTCTAATAATCTCCCGTATATAGCAATAACCGCTGAGGTTACCATTAATGACATAGAGAGGTGTCCTTTGATGAAAGGAAAACGCACCCCAAACCATGACAACCCCGCCTCCATATGGCAAACGTTGGTTGACGTTAACGTCAGCAAACCTCCCTCCAGGACGCCGATACACACCAGTTCTACCATCATTAAACTGTAGAGTAAACCTAGACTCGTCGGAGAAAAGAACTGATGCCCACTGAGCCGTTGCCAGCGAACATGGCGTCTACACATGTCATGTCTTGCACCAGTCATGTCTTGCCATCATGTGTCTCTGAAGGTTCCTGACAGTCTGATCAGATGCTGGTACTTGCCGCAGTTCTCAGATTGGTCACGGAACTCGGCAGTCGGTTCCTGACAATCTGATCAGATACCAGGGTACTCTGTGGCAGTTCTCAGTTGGTCCCGCGAAACTGTCTGGCAGTTACTCTGTGCATTGTGGGAGGGCCATATTTGTCAGGTATCGGTCTTCTCAGGAGTTGTTGATGGAGGCCTGCCAATGACGATGTAACACATCACATTCCAGTGACACGAAACTGGTGTCGTAACCTTCCAATGACACTCTGACTCACATTTATTCTCTGAGCCACACTGCTTTGAGGTTCGCCATCTTGAAATCAAGCAAGAGCTCTTCCTTTGTCTCTCATGCTCAGTTGACGTCTTGCTATTGTTGAATTTCAAGTGACAATAACAATGCGACAATTACAAGTTTTTAAGGGAAAATAAGCATGCACAGCACTAATCCCACGAAGAACACGTGCAAATGTTGTTCATGATGAAACAGCATCTTCCACAAGCACAGTGGTGGTGCTTCTGTGAATTACTCGATGTTTCAATTTGTTCATTTTTTTTTTAACACCCTACCACATGATGACTATTGGCACCACGGTTATCTGTTTTATTCATGCATAATGCAACCAGCCTCATCAATAACATTACATGATGACATCACATGACCCTTAACTTGTTTTGAGTAGTATATTATAAATCATATGCATCATATACATACACTTTGGTGGCCTATTTTCACGAAACGAAACACCACAGTTATGAATCTTAAAGCTACTCATTTTAACGGTATTGTCTCCTTCCATGATGTACTGTTCCCATTTACAGTAGAACACGGATATAACGAACTCCAAGGGACCAAGAAATTTAGTTCGCTATATCCGTTGTTCGTTATTCACATTTGACCGCCATCTTGGATTGTAGAGATGTAGACATTCTCAGACATTACCTATATCATGTTGATAAATATGAAGTTTATTTTTATAATAAAATTGAAATAATACAACTACAACTTAAATACATTTATTTTTTAATGAAAATGCAAGCTTACATTTATAATGTCCAGATAAACCACGAAAGAAGCAAAAACTGTAGCGATTTTTTTTCCATTTGTGACATGTCATAACATGCCCGTGCCTTTTTCTTTTATATTTTCATTTTTATGTAATCAGGCATAAACATGACACAACAACGAATCGTGTGGTGTCTGGTATCGTTCGACAGCTCTGGAACATCAACAATATCACTGTACCCTTGCCGAGAGTATTTTCACAGTTGTAAAAAGTGATTTTATTGGACAAAGATTGGTTTCTAATGACGTTTTTTCGCCAAGGCACCTAAGGCAGCCAATCATACTACGGCAATGGATACCGTCCTCGTCAACGAAAACTTTCGTTAAACACGATATGTTTGTTTTGTTAATTTATTAATGACCATCAAACAATGTTGATTCACCGAAAACAAGATTGATGTAAACTGTACCGTTAAGTGGCTGAGCTGACACTGAGTGAGTTCGCTAATCACGTCGTTAATTGGGTCTTGGGGGTAGTAAATCAGTTCGCTATAGCCGTTAATTCGCTACTCACGAGTTCGTTATTCACGTATAATTTCAATGATATTATAAAGGACTGTTGACGGGACTTTTAAATTTGTTCGCTATATCCGTTTGTACGCTATATCCGTGTTCGCTATAACCATGTTCTACTGTATGTCTCTCTTCTGATGTTGATGTCTCCTTCCACAATGTTCTGCTTGAATGCACGGCGGGGGATATAGTATGTGCGTACAGTCGTACGAATTGGAATATCTTAAGAACCGTAGACTAGATTCTTTTCATAGATGGTACCTAGGTTCATCACAGTATGTGAAAGGTTTGGTGACCTTGACCTTCATGTCAAGGTCACAAGGGGACTTTAACATTTTACCCTTGTCAGCAAGATATCTCAAGAACAGCTCATATTTGACACCAAGCTTCATCTGGGGAATGCGCAGGGCCCACTCGATTTTGGTGACCTTCATGTAGTTTTCAATGTCAGACCGACACTTTGAAGATTTCAGTATGTTAAGAGTGTCAGCAAGATATCTCAAGAACGGTTCACTGGATTTTCTTCATAGACTTTCAAGACTTCTCTTGAATGTTTTTTGTTAAGCAGTTTCTTTATTACTATTTTTGGCATATTTCATACACAATGACATTCATGTCAAGGTCAAAGTGAGTCTTGAAAATATTTGTGTGTTTGAACAGCTACAGAACAAGATATCAAGAGAGGTTGACTGGTCATGTTTTTGTTGACATTTAACTTCATCTTAAAATATGACATTCACTTTCATTACTTTTTAAGTTTGATTTGATAACTTGCGTCGGGGGATTATGTCACCTTTGTGACAACTGCTTGTTAATGTCTCCTCTTCCATCTGGCAGGTTGGACAACTTGATATTCAGTCAATACAAGTCTGATGTGCTTGGGGTTCTAGATTGGGAGTTATCTACCCTTGGTGACCCCTTGTCTGACCTTACGCAGAGCTGTGTTATATACTATCTGCCTAAAGACTTTCCATTATTTGCAGGTAGGTATTGTTGCAAGTGACCCAAATATCATTTTATATACTGCAGCAAGCATTCATTATGGGCAAATAGAGTTCTCACAAAAATTTCAAAAGTCATCATGGAGCAGTTTTTGTACAATATACAGAAGATACAATTGTTACCATGGACAATCAACCTGCGAATTTAAGGGTTAGATTGGTCTGTAGCAACCCATTTTATTTTATAAGAGGCTTGGTCAGGCTGGCAAACTTGGTTGACACATGTCAGCCTAACTTCCCAACCATTCAAAGCTCATGATATTGATCACTGGATTATCTGATCCAGACCGGGTTCGATTCAGACCGCTATCATGGAGCACAATGTGAATGGGGCTAAGCCCATTTCTGGTGTCCCCGTCCTGGTGATATTGCTGGAAGCTTTGTTGTGTGCCCAGTATTGTTGGGAGCGGTTGAAATCTCAAATTGATCAGTCAGTACAGTCCAATCATAAAAGGCTACTAACAGCATTGGTTGGTCCTATTCAGGCTGGCAAGATAAGTATGAAATAAAAACATGTCATCTGTTTCCCTAAACTGCACAAATTACCATTGCAGATCAAAGCTCATGATGTTTCATCACTGGATTATCTGAGATCCTTCACTAAATATACAGACATGACTTTTCATAAAGCTGGAAGATTGCTTAGAAATACATGGGGCTATCCTAATATGTTCAACAAGAAAACATGGACCCATCAATTGTCAATTATGAGAAAATGTGATCGATTGCTTGTTCCTGGTGATATATGTCACAATCTTGATTTTTCTACCAGACCACCACTGTGTGCCCAGTTTGAAAGATATTTGCAAGCAAATAGCCTTGTACTCAGATTTGACTCATGTAAGAAAGAAATTCTGTAATAACCAAGCCAGATTATATAGAAAAAATATCTTGGCACCTGTTTGAAAAAAATAGAAATCGAAAGAATCAGATTCGGTATTTTTTAGATCAGCATAATGTGTGAAGCAGTTGAGACTACAGTAGGGGCAATGATGTTTACAAAGCTGTTTTATTAGATGTGAATTATGTTTCATTTCATGTGTTTTTTTATTGTTTTCCTTTATTGAATAAAGTTTTAAGATAAATAAGTTTATTTTATTATTGGGGACAGTTCATAAATTATTGCTGGTGGGGGTGGGGTGGTGTTTCTGTGTGTGTGTGTGTGTGTGATTATGATTTTAAGGGGGTCATCCATTTTGTTCTGGGGAGGTAGGTGGGTGGGCAATTATGTACATTAAAATATCTAAGATTTATGCTTAAAAATTATGGGAAGGGGAGGGGACATCATTGATTAAAATTATGGGAAGGGAGGGTGTCATTGATTAAAAAAATATATGGGAAGGGAGGGGTGTCATTGATTAAAAATTATGGGAAGGGAGGGGTGTCATTGATTAAAAATTATGGGAAGGGAGGGTGTCATTGATTAAAAATTATTGTCATTGAAAAAATTATGGGAAGGGGAGGGGTGTCATTGATTTTGTACATGATATGCAAGGGGTCACTTCTTTGTGCATAAATTTTAGGGGGGTCATTCACATTGTACATGCTTCTGCATAAAAATCATTCACCATTGTCCCTTATTTGAATTAGTGCTGTTTGCATCAAAAGTCATCAGATCTGGGAAAGAGTTCCCCCCCAACTTAAACCAACCCTAAATAAATTTTGGACTTTTACCATTTTGTCCCTTATTTAGTAATCAGTGTTTTGTTAATAATTTTAGTACATTTATAAATATTATTTGGGATGGGGGAACAGGAGGAGCTCTTACCCAGATCTGTAAAACCACTTTTGACAAGATGTCAAACTGTACAGATAAGAGTGGTGACTTGAAGTGCCTTTGAAATAAGCGATGGGAGTGAATATGTCAACAGCAGAAACTGTTGAATGAAGACATTATAAGTTGTTCACTGGTAACAAACATTGAGGGTACATCAACCCATGGGCCCCGAATTTATCTTACTGAACACCTCGATGTTAATTTTCAACTGTTTGCAGCATGGGCATCGGATCATAAGAAGAAGTACCAGAGTTAGGCAATTAGCCAATACTAGATTTTCAGATGACATAGAATCCAGCAGACGACAAGTAAAACAAATTTAGAGTTATATCCTTTCTACCTATTTGCATTTGCAAAACATTGATAATTTCCGCACATCATTCGTGACTCAATTATTCGAGATGAAGAATTACTAACAAGAATACAAAATGAATTGACAGAGCTCGGCATTCCCAGCGGGAAACATACAAAATGGGGTATATTGAAAATAGTTGAAGAGCACTCAGCCAATCAGAAAACGACATTTATGTGTGAGGTAAGATAAAATATACTGTTGTATTAGGGGATGCAATGGGCAAGAATTGCTTTACTAAAGTAAACAGGATTATTATGGGATGTATATGGATAAAGTATACTTACTAAGGAATATATTGTTTTACAACAGGATTTCTTGGTCAGGATGTGTCTAAGCTCGGTATTCCAACAGTCCAGGAAGTTGTTGCTGAGTACTGCGAGAGAATGAACATTCAACCAATCACAAACTTTGAGTTCTACATGGCCTTCGCCTTCTTCAGGATGGCTGCTATATGTCAAGGTGTCTACAAACGAGCCATCTCAGGTATGAAATTATAATGTTTCCATACATTTATTAAGTTTTACAGTGGTCCCAAAGTAAAAGGCCGCCTCCGTGGTGTAGTGGTTAGAGCGTCCGCCCGGAGAGCGGAAGGTCGCGGGTTTGATCCCGACCGCGTCATACCAAAAGACGTTAAAATATGGTACTTGTTGGTCCCTGCCTGGCTCTCGGCATTAATGGGTACAACAAGTACTGGTTGGCTCAGAGTCAGTATAATGTGTCTGAGTGGGGTATTCATGCTTCACTGCGGCATGGTATCTCGGTGGGCTAGCACTATAAAACCAGCTTAAGTCTGGGCTAGTACAAGCAGCCACACATACACATACACACGCATGCACGTCGTCATATGAGCGAAATATTCTCAAGCATGACGTTAAACCCAATTTCACCTCACCTCACTCACCCAAAGTAAAAGTTTCTGTCTTTCACTCTACCCCATAGCAGTTGGCATTAGGGGTGACTATTGAGGGGGAAACAACTATAGCGATAGTCTATTGCAACATACCATTGTGACCAGTTTTTTTCTTCTTCAATTGTCTCATTTAAAGTGATTCCTAAATGAATGTATAGTTTATTTGAAATAGAAACAAGGTGAAGTAGTTTTAGTCTCTTTTAATAACTGACAAGAAACTTGAAGCACAGATCAAGCACAGATAAAACAATTTCAAACTCTGAGTCATATGCTGTGTTTGCCGCCATGTTTGTTTAAGAGGTAACAGGTGCGGATATATAACTCTAAATCAAAGTGAACGAATCTGGTCCTTCCTTTTTTCCGCTGAACTTTATCAACAGAAGTCAATTACTGATCTGTCGATAGTCACACATATTATCGATGCATCGACAGTTTTTCGTTTCTGCTATCGATTAATTGCTATCAGAGACTCAACAATTGCAATCCATCGATAGTTCAATGCATCGTTACATAGTTGGCAACTTGGCATAGTCCGTGTGAACTAGATTCCTGGGTTTTGTGGGTTTATAGTTATCTGCTCTTAGTAACCTCTTATCTAATCCTGTTGAGAAAATGTGTGAAGCCCATTTCTGGTGTCCCCCGCCGTGATGTTGCTGGAATATTGCTAAAAGCGGCGTAAAACCAAACTCAGTCAGTCAGTCAGTCCTGTTGAGAAAAGTAGCATGACTAATAAACTGATCTACTGACATATCTATTTCTAATTGACTTGTACCTGCCAATGATGAATTTGATTAATTTTAAGTGCTATTTCACTGCAATCTGGACTCTAATCTAGATATTTGAAGATCCAGATTAGCATTGGTCCTCAGCAACCCATGCGTGTTCTTAAGAAGCAACTGAAGGGAAAGGACTTTCAGGCTTGATGACTTCCATTGATCAATGCTCATGACAGTTTGATCCAAATTTTTTATGTTTCATATGAGTGTAGTAGTTGATTCCACAATCATACTTATAAATATTCAAAGCAAGGACAAGAGTTCTGAGTTATGTGCTTCTACAAAAATTGATAAAGTAAGAACATGATGATCTGAGAGATAGACTTGAGGCTGATGAGAACTGGAGGGATTGCTCAGGCCAAATTAGACATGGAAATCCATAGGTCAACCCTGTCTTCATAGCCAGGGACTAGATTCGAAACTCTCTTAGGCATAAGATAGGTGTATGTTAATGTTAATGATGGCTCTCTATCTTAACGCTAAGAGAGTTGTAAGTTAATGTTAATGTATGGCTCTTACAACTATCTTAGCGATAAGAGAGTTGTAAGTTAATGTTAATGTATGGCTCTTACAACTATCTTAGCGCTAAGAGAGTTGTAAGTTAATGTTAATGTATGGCAAAGAGAGTTGTAAGTTAATGTTAATGTATGGCAGCTACAACTATCTTAACGCTAAGAGAGTTGTAAGTTAATGTTAATGTATGGCTCTTACAACTATCTTAGCGCTAAGAGAGTTGTAAGTTAATGTTAATGTATGGCTCTTACAACTATCTTAACGCTAAGAGAGCTTCGCTAATGTATGGCACTTAGCAAATCTAGGCCCTGGATGCTGTGCTTCAATGATGACATCTGTCAATGTTGAGTACTCTTCTTCCACTGAAGGACAAGGAAGTTCCCCGATTGCTGAGAAGGTCGGCAAGTTTGCAGAGACATTGGCTGACATTGGATTGGGGATGGTAGAAAAGCAGGGCACAGGATCCCAGGTCCAGTCAGGGCGGAGATCCTATTCCTCAATGAGATCTGTCAATGTTGAGATCGTATTCCACAAGTACCAGGTCAATCATGACCTACATTTCCCGACCTATGTCTACACAACCACATACAGGCACTGCTGGTAAGTACACAGATCCATGACGACCTACATGTCCACACAACCACACACAGGCACTGCTGGTAAGTACACAGATCCATGACGACCTACATGTTCACACAACCACACACAGGCACTGCTGGTAAGTACACAGATCCATGACGACCTACATGTCCACACAACCACACACAGGCACTGCTGGTGAGTACACAGATCCATGACGACCTACATGTCCACATAAGCCACACACAGGCACTGCTGGTGAGTTCACAGATCCATGACTACCTACATGTCCACACAACCACACACAGGCACTGCTGGTAAGTACACAGATCCATGACGACCTACATGTCCACACAACCACACACAGGCACTGCTGGTAAGTACACAGATCCATGACGACCTACATGTCCACACAACAACCACACACAGGCACTGCTGGTGAGTACACAGATCCATGGCGACCTACATGTCCACACAACCACACACAGGCACTGCTGGTAAGTACACAGATCCATGACGACCTACATGTCCACACAACCACACACAGGCACTGCTGGTAAGTACACAGATCCATGACGACCTACATGTCCACACAACCACACACAGGCACTGCTGGTAAGTACACAGATCCATGACGACCTACATGTTCACACAATCACACACAGGCACTGCTGGTGAGTACACGGATCCATGACGACCTACATGTCCACACAATCCACACACAGGCACTGCTGCTGGTGAGTACACGGATCCATGACGACCTACATGTCCACACAACCACACACAGGCACTGCTGGTGAGTACACAGATCCATGACGACCTACATGTCCACACAACCACACACAGGCACTGCTGGTGAGTACACAGATCCATGACTCTACCTACATGTCCACACAACCACACACAGGCACTGCTGGTGAGTACACAGATCCATGACGACCTACATGTTCACACAATCACACACAGGCACTGCTGGTGAGTACACAGATCCATGACGACCTACATGTCCACACAACCACACACAGGCACTGCTGGTGAGTACACAGATCCATGACGACCTACATGTTCACACAACCACACACAGGCACTGCTGGTGAGTACACAGATCCATGACGACCTACATGTCCACACAACCACACACAGGCACTGCTGGTGAGTACACAGATCCATGACGACCTACATGTCCACACAACCACACACAGGCACTGCTGGTGAAGTACACAGATCCATGACTACCTACATGTCCACACAAGCACACACAGGCACTGCTGGTAAGTACACAGATCCATGACTGACCTACATGTCCACACAAACCACACACAGGCACTGCTGGTAAGTACACAGATCCATGACGACCTACATGTCCACACAACCACACACAGGCACTGCTGGTAAGTACACAGATCCATGACGACCTACATGTCCACACAACCACACACAGGCACTGCTGGTGAGTACACAGATCCATGACGACCTACATGTCCACACAACCACACACAGGCACTGCTGGTAAGTACACAGATCCATGACGACCTACATGTTCACACAACCACACACAGGCACTGCTGGATAAACTATGATACTATAGTTTCAGTATAATCTGTGATAATCTACTTGTTATACTGTCCTACGACAACAGGTTTTTATTAGGTATAAATATACAGTAATTTTATTATACGACTTTCTGATATGGCTGAAATACTGTCATTGTCAGGGGCGGATGCAGCTTTTTGAGAGGGGGTTGGGGGGTGCACACTATTGAGAAAAGGGGGTGTGCACACTCCATTTTCACCCGAGTTTCAATGGTCATTGAACAAACTTTCAGGACAAATGGGGGAGTGCGCACCCCTGCACACACCGCACACACACACACACACACACACACTCTCTCTCTCTCTCTCTCTCTCTCTCTCTCTCTCTCTCTCTCTCTCTCTCTCTCTCTCTCTCTCTCTCTCTCTCTCTCTCTCTCTCTCTCTGAGTCTCTCTCTGAGCGTCTCTCTCTGTCTCCTCCCTCTCTCCCTTTCACCTAAGTGTGACTCTGGGCCTAGCTCCTTTCACTCTCTCTCTGTTAAAGCGCTCACTTGTCACACTTAAAGCCGAAGACCTGGGTTCGATTCCCCACAAGGGTACAATGTGTGAAGCCATTTTCTGGTGTCCCCTGCCGTGATATTGCTGGAATATTGCTAAAAGCGGCGTAAAACTAAACTCACTCACTCACTCACTTTAAAGATAAGTGTATCTACTGGATTACAGGGGCCATGGCTGTGTCAGTGAAGGGGTTGTCCCCCTTGGTTCAGGATCTCCATCAGAGGGTGCGGAAGATGGTTGACGAGGACATAATCCCACTCGAGGCAGATATGGTCGCCCACAGCATGGGGCCACGCAAATGGGAGGTGTTCAAGCCCTTGGAAGATATCAAGGTCAGGCCACATGAAGGTCAAGGCAACATGCCATTTGATTCATGTTTTGTTAATTTTTACTTAGCCAAGTGTCCTAATCACATCATCAAATGGGATAATGTTGAAATATTATCAAAAAACGTCCAGGACTTCACCAAAAAAAACTGGCAGAAGCAGTTCAAATCAGCCGGCAAAAATGCCCGTCAATCAGCAGAGACCTCATTCCATCCGCCTACAATGAATGAATAAAAACAACAGAACAGAGCACTCCAGCCATCGTTGCTAATTAATCCCATGTGCTATGTATATCTAGTCCTGCCTCCTCCCTCTATGACCCGTGAAGGTCCAGGTTAGAATATTGCTCTTTAGTAACCCATGCTTGTCTCCACCCGTGAAGGTCCAGGTTAGAATATTGATCTTCAGTAACCCAGGCTTGTCTGGGCTTGGTTGACACATGTCATCGGTTCCCAATTGCGCAGATCGATGCTCATGCTGTTGATCACTGGATTGTCTGGTCCAGACAGATTATTTACAGACCGCCGTCATACAGCTGGAATATTGCTGAGTGCGTCGTAAAACTAAACTCACTCACTCACTGTTGTTACTGCGTTATTACCAATATCCATTGTTGTTAATCCTTTAATCCCTCATGTTGTCTTACTTAATCCCTGTTACATGTATATAAGTCGGTTCTGTGCTGTATTACTTTACTCTTGCTTGCGGTATAAGAAGCTATACTGAAACGTCGCATCATAATTAAATAAAGAAGTTGTTATCCATAAAGTATTATACTTTTCTTACAGTAATCAGCGCTGTCTAATCCGCTGCGTGGTGAGGGGTCGGACGGATGTGTATTGTCATCAATTAATCCAACTTTGAAACTACATGGTTGCCGACACAGATAATCTTAATCTTAGTTCAGTATGGGTACACTTGTACCTGTAACTAGTGAGTTGACACGTGTCAGTCATGAGGGATGTTACATAGAGGGCGGCTCTCGAACACCAACAGCCACTCATGCCAAAGCCAGCCAAAACAAAACGCTTCAATGAGAACAGTAAATTTCAATCAATCTCTTAGACAAGCATGGTGTCAGTTACAAAATGGGAAAATTACTGCAGAGTATATATGAAAATGTGAAAATTTGTGTAAGGGGTAATAATGAATTATCAGATACATTCGTGAGTCAGTTAGGAGTTAGGCAAGGTTTATGTTAAGCCCTTTTCTATTTACATTCTGCATTATTAATGAGCATGTTTATGTTATTAAGTGAATATTGTCAATGTGTGCAGTAATTGAGAGAACCACGTGATACAACACTGGACACTGTATATGAGAGACAAAACTGGTTCAGTTCTTGTAACCGTGTCAGCTCTACAATCCGGCATGCTGTCTAAACCGGATTATTTCTTCAGTCCGATTCAGACAGATTCCACTGTACTTGGATCAAACAGCCAGTTCCTGGTGTCAGTTAGAATTTGTCCAAACAACTTAAAATGTGTCAATCCTGTTAAGTCAACCTTACCCTAATATTGGTCCTCCCATATAGGGTATATTAGCCCAAAAGTTGGTTTTGTCATATTGGACTGACCTCCTTAGGAGTGACTGGATAATAAACCCAAACACATGCAGCACACCCTGTGACTTTGTCAGATTTGTGGGACATTTGTTCTTTTCAGAATAAAGCCAAAGCCAAGGGCTTATGGAACCTGTTTCTTCCACTGGAGACTGATCCGGAGCGGAAATACGGAGCAGGTCTCACCAACCTGGAGTACGCCTTCCTGTGTGAAGAGATGGGGCGATGTGTCCTGGCTCCAGAGGTAGGAAAACTTTATCAATTATTATTGTAAGTCCAGTCTCAGCTGGCAAACAGACCTGTGCACAGCACACACACAGCATCAAAGATCAAGTTAAGTAAGCCAGATTGCCAAGAGTGGCTGGATCGGCAAACTGGACTATAGTCTGTAAACCTTACTTCTGGCGTCCAATTTTCACGATTGAATTCATGTTTGTTTGAACATGCCTGTCAGCACTGTCACCATATTTATCCTCTATTGAGAACTAGTAGGATGAAATCGGTCAACATCTTTCGCGGCGATGTCTGACTTTGAAACAATTAAATGAATGAGCGTTGTTGTGGTTGTTGTTTTTTGTCAGTCGTCCATCTGTTATTATCCACTAAATAAACATCAATTGCTTACACATGCTTTTAGTAATCAAGTATAATTCGAAATCAAATGGTGCCTCTCCAGGCAGGCGATTTTGTTAAAACTGTAAGTGTTCTGATTAGTAGGAGGAGCTGGTGATGTGAAATGAAAGCCTTCAAACACTTAGACATGCGTGTTTGTATGATTCCCAGGGAGTTGAGAAGCAACTGAAATTCATGTCCATATTAACATAGGTTAACTTGTCATGAGCTTCAGTCATTGAAGCATTAAGTCCACAACTATATAATGGGTCTGTCATTGGTGTTTCTGGTCAGCTGTCAGGAATCAAGCCTGTTGAATCCGCTGACCGTATTAATGGGTTATTTTTGTCAGACTTATGACAGGTGTTGTGCTTTAGGTGTTCAACTGTAACGCCCCAGACACCGGCAACATGGAGGTGCTGGTGAAGTACGGGACAGAGGAACAGAAGCAGACATGGCTGACACCACTACTGAATGGGGAGATCAGATCCTGCTTCGGAATGACAGAACCAAATGTACGAGATTAATCTTATACCTTGTGAGTGAGTGAGTGAGTGTGGGTTTATGTCGCTTTCAACAAAATTCCACCTATATCACAGCTGAGACACCAGAATTGTGCTTCATGCATTGCCTTTGTGAGGATTTGAATATCTTGTAGGTTCTCAATAATAATTAAACCAAACTTACTCACTCATTAGGGATTTATCTTGATCTACTCAGAGGCCTGGTTGAAGCTATTGCCTGTAATAATTCCCAAATTGTTTCCCAAAAATGACTAAATTATGTGATTATCGTAATACCTAATGTTATTGTTTGTTGAGGTGCATTTCACTGACAACAGTAAACAAGGAGAGGATTTAATGTTCAGTTATAAATGTTTTTGAATTAAGTGGAATATTGAGAAAAAAAACCCTGAATATATGAATATAGCGATATTAAAAGGAATACACTCTACTTTGCTATTGTTCTTTGGAGTCAGGGTCTTGTAATACAGTGGACTCTGTCAATACCGGCCTCTGTAAACACCGGCACTCTGTCTACATCGGCACAAAGTTTCAGTCCCGGCAGAAATGCACTCTGTCAAAACCGGCATTTTTATTTGGTCCCGACTGATGCCGGTATTGACAGAGTACACTGTAATGTAGTGTTCTTTATGTGAGAGTAAATTGCCCACTTATTAACAGGTGGCATCCTCCGACGCCACCAACATCCAGTCCTCCATCAAGAAAGACGGCGACTACTTCATCATCAACGGACACAAGTGGTGGACATCAGGTGAGAGAGATAATAATTAATTATAATAATAGTTATTTATATAGCACCTAGTATCCATCTGACTAGTTTCTCACTGGACGCTGTAATCAGAATCTGATTATTATTATCCCGGATAACCCAATTTCCCTTGAGGCGCTAGAAGGTAATAGTCACGTGACTTATTTCACGGGGTACCCATTTTCTGCTGGGTGAGCAGAGAATAAATCAGACAGAACTAGTTTGTTGTTCTCTAATTCTTGGTCAGGTCTCTGTAATACTGAAGGGGTCGTTGTTGTTATGCTCGTTAGTACAATACTTGTTCTTTGTCCTCTAAATCTGAGACGGTGCAGTGGGGTAGCCTAGTGGTTAAAGCGTTCGCTCATCACGCCTAAGACCCGGGTTCGATTCCCCACATGGGTACAATGGGGGCGTTGTGGGCGAGCTGGCTAAGGCGCCAGGCTAGTGATCTAGCAAGGTTGAGGTGTCGGGATCCCACCTGTGACCGGGTGTAAAAACCTTGGAGTCAACTTTGTGTGCAGACTCTTTCAGTGTTGTCACAACCCCTAGTACAGTACACAACCCTGTGCACTTAAAAGAACCCACGAATCCGTTGGTATATGACCAGATGGTGGCCACATGAATGCGTGCAAACACCTAGTTGCGGGTTCAGCAACGTGCAGTAAACTTGGACAAAGTACTGTGACTATGTGTCCTAGTCCACCCAGCTGTGAATGAGTACCTCGTTAGGATGAGAAAGCCACAATAACTCGGTGCGCCTAGTGGCTGCAAGAGATGTATACTCCCAAGGGAGTTGAGATTGATAATATGATGTGCCTTTGAGATTGACATCCAATGATGAGGGGAAAATATCAGCACCTTGAGCATGCACTATTTGCCTAGATATGTGCACTATATAAATATCCTATAATAAATAATAATAACTAAAAAATGTGTGAAGCCCATATCTGGTGTCTCTCGCTCTCTCACGCTCGCTCACTCACTCACTCACTCACTCACTCACTCACTCACTCACTCACTCACTCACTCACTCACTCACTCACTCACTCACTCACTCACTCACTCACTCACTCACTCACTCACTCACTCACTCACTGGAAGTCTGACACAGGTCTCCAGTTCTGGTGAAGAGATTGTTGTTGTCATAGAGGGTACTACAGTACTACTTTGTTATCCTCTATTTCTGACCTACTCAAAGGTCCAGACAAAGTGTGTGGTGGAGGAAATCTGCTTTGATATTGCTGGAATACTGCTAAAAGCTGCGTAAAATCAAACTCTCTCAGCCATTGTGGTGTGGATACTGTGTCCTCAGTGTTTTCAAAACCCCAGATCATCTTCTGCTGGTCATTGCTTGTGTGGCCAGTCCTGCTGTTGCTACAAACCATGCTGAATAAGAGATGTACTTTTTGTTTTGAACATTCTGGTGACATAACTCAGTGATATATTAGAAATAAGAATATCGTGTAAGATGAACTTCTGTCTCTATACAAGGTGCCCTGGACCCCAGATGCAAGCTCTGTGTATTCATGGGCAAAACTGACATGGGAGCTCAGAAACATAGGCAGCAAAGTATGATCCTTGTCCCAATGGACGCTCCAGGAGTGAAGATCCTCCGACCACTCACTGTGTTTGGGTACGAAGACAGTCCAGGTATGTCTACACCATACATACATCTTAACGTTGAGTCTGTCTGCTGACTCTGTTTGGGTACAAAGACAGTCCAGGTATGTCTACACCATACATACATCTTAGCGTTGAGTCCGTCTGCTGACTCTGTTTGGGTACAAAGACAGTCCAGGTATGTCTACACCATACATACATCTTAGCGTTGAGTCCGTCTGCTGACTCTGTTTGGGTACAAAGACAGTCCAGGTATGTCTACACCATACATACATCTTAGCGTTGAGTCCGGTATGTCTGCTGACTCTGTTTGGGTACAAAGACAGTCCAGGTATGTCTACACCATACATACATCTTAGCGTTGAGTCCGTCTGCTGACTCTGTTTGGGTACAAAGACAGTCCAGGTATGTCTACACCATACATACATCTTAGCGTTGAGTCCGTCTGCTGACTCTGTTTGGGTACAAAGACAGTCCAGGTATGTCTACACCATACATACATCTTAGCGTTGAGTCCGTCTGCTCACTGTGTTTGGGTACAAAGACAGTCCAGGTATGTCTACACCATACATACATCTTAGCGTTGAGTCCGTCTGCTGACTCTGTTTGGGTACGAAGACAGTCCAGGTATGTCTACACCATACATACATCTTAGCGTTGAGTCCGTCTGCTCACTGTGTGTGGGTACAAAGACAGTCCAGGTATGTCTACACCATACATACATCTTAGCGTTGAGTCTGTCTGCTGACTGTGTTTGGATACAAAGACAGTCCAGGTATGTCTACACCATACATACATCTTAGCGTTGAGTCCGTCTGCTCAGTGTGTGTGGATACAAAGACAGTCCAGGTATGTCTACACCATACATACATCTTAGCGTTGAGTCCGTCTGCTGACTCTGTTTGGGTACGAAGACAGTCCAGGTATGTCTACACCATACATACATCTTAGCGTTGAGTCTGTCTGCTCACTGTGTTTTGGTCTGGTCGTATTGGCTTATTTAGTACCGGTATATCATGAGAAGATATTAAACATTTGAAGGCTTATATGACTGATGTGTTTCATTCCCAGACATAAGGACTGAGTACTGACATGAGTTCTGGAAACTCTATCTCCTAAATACTGCCATTCAAAGGCTTCACACAGAATCTTTGCCTTATGGACATATTCGATAATTGTATAAAAGGTGCTTGTAAGTATTACATTTCTTGGAAATAGTTTCCTAGTTAGAAATATTGATGTTGCGTTTTTCTGTGCCAGCCGGCCATGGAGAAGTCCTGTTTGAAAACGTACGGGTTCCTGCCTCCAACATCCTTCTGGGTGAAGGTCGTGGGTTTCAGATAGCTCAAGGTCGTCTGGGTCCTGGCCGAATCCATCACTGCATGAGGCTGATCGGCAATGCGGAACGGTGTCTCGAGTTGATGGTGAAGAGAGTAAGTAGATGAAAGTCAAGGCAAGACATCAAATTGTCTGTTTGCGATACTCAAATTCTTTTTCAGAAGAGATCTTCCTTGGGGTACAAATGTGCATTCTTTGTAACAATGTTTTTGAAGAGAATCTTCCTTGGGGTCGGACCTCCCACCTCCCCGCAGTTCTGTTCTCTGATGTATATCATCAGCAGAAGGAATGAATGATTTTGGGTAGGGATGTACCTGGCTGCCCACGCATGCATTGTAAGGGAACGAATCCCACGTAGTGGGGAGGCCATATAACAAATAAAAACAAGTTATTTTGTTTTTGTACAATTATTTATTGAAACATTGTTACAACTTCACAGGACATTTTCAGTCACAGAAAATATATATGTGCACATATCAATTTACCCTAGCAACCATTGTTTCTGTATTTCGTTGTCTGTGACGTCATTAAACAATTGAATGTGAGGTCAATGAAGAGGGCTGTCACACTTGCTTACCATGTTTTACTGCTCAAATGTACATGAGTAAAATGGATAATAAAGAAATTTTCACACTCGAGCAAGTGTGTCATATGACTCATACGGAACTTGTGCAAAAATATGTATTGCCAAAGCACTTGTTTCGTGCTAAGTCATATGCCTCGCTTGCGCTTGTAATAATCTGTAAATATTTTACAATCATATTGTTAAAATATCTTGGATTGACACATTAAATAAGATACAGTATTTCCTCTAATAAGCATTTTTATAAATGTATTCTCCCTTGATCCAAAGTTAGATTTATTAAGAAATGGTCCTTTAGTCATGACTGCCTGTCCTCCACATGGCACAGGTTGATGGATATTATGTAATTGTCGAAGCTGCAATCAGAGGTTTACATGTATATAAATATATGTGGGATCCGGTGCTAGATGAATGTTTACAGACCAAACTAGATACTAATATACAGGTCTGGAGAGTCTGGCTGGGTTCACTCAGTGAATGTCCTTGTTTCAGACTCAGGAAAGAATTGCCTTCGGGAAGCCACTAGCTGCTCAGGGAACAATACAGGCTGACATCGCCCAGTCTCGCATTGAGATAGAGCAGACTCGGCTCTTGGTATTGAAGGCTGCCTACATGATGGACGTGTACGGGAATAAGGTGAGTCTAGCATTGAGACAGAACACAGTCAACATCTGGTGTCTCATATAGAGATAGGACAGATTCAGCACCTGGTAACTTGTATATTCTCATATATTGATAGGACAGACTCAACACCCAGTGTCTTGTATATACAAATAGAATTGAAGGCTGCCAACATGATGGGCATGTGTGGGCGTAAGATGAGTCACATACCCAAATAGACCAGATACAACACCTGTTGTATTGTATAAAGACTGAACATACTTCATTCTTGTTGTGGGCGCTGGGGTAGCCTAGTGGTTAAAGCGTTGGCTCGTCACGCCGAAGACCCGGGTTCGAATCCCCACATGGGTACAATGTGTGAAGCCCATTTCTGGTGTCCCCTGCTGTGATGTTGCTGGAATATTGCTAAAAGCGGCATAAAACCAAACTCAGTCAGTCAGTCAGTGATTCTTGTTGTTGAAGACTGCCTTCGTCATCAAAAAAAGTTTTGGTTGATTCATTTTTTCAAATTGTATTCTACTGTATTTCTAGGTGGCTGCTCCAGAGATAGCCATGATAAAAGTGGCAGCCCCAAATATGGCCCAGAGAGTGGCTGACAGAGCCATACAGGTGAGAAATATGGACAGCCAAATACCAGTATCACCTAAGGCAGACTCATAAAACTGAGAAATGTTGAACACCAATTAATCATGATGGCCCACGACTGACCATACAGGCGGGACCTGTTAAACAGTGAACTCTTTTGCGATAAAGAGATCTGGAGTCAGTTGTCTTTTAATGGGATGTCGATCTGAGACAAGGAGTGAGTGAGTGAGTGAGTTTAGTTTTAAGCCACACTCAGCAATAGTTTAAATATATGGTGGCAGTCTGTAAATAATCGGGTCTGGACCAGACAATCCAGGGATCAACAGCATGAACATCAATCTACGCAACTGGGATGCGATGACATGTGTCAACCCAGACAGCAAGCCTGACCACCCGATCCCATTAATCGCCTCTTACGACAAGCGTGGGTTGCTTAAGATCAATTCTAACCCGGATCTTCACAGGTCTGGAACAAGGAAACATGTAATAGCAATTAAACAAAGTGTAGCTATATATGTTCAACATTCTGTTCTATGTCAACCATTCCACCTGACCTGTCTGTGTTTAGGCCCACGGGGGAGCTGGACTTCACCATGACCTGCCGATAGGATTCATGTTTGCCTGGGCTCGTATCCTGCGTATCGCCGACGGCCCGGATGAAGTACACAAGCGGGCTATCGCAAGAATGGAATATGCAAAGTCTGTCAAATCCAACTTGTAGATAGTTGTGAATCCAAACGTGTGATAATGTCAAGGTTGCGCCATCATCGCCACAAGACAATAACCAAGAGCCCGACACATAAAGTTATTTCTTGAGTGAAGAATAATATTATGATCAGTATCCGTTTTGATGGCTAAAAATATCATATGAAGTTACAGGTATAATCAAGATCATGTTATCTGGGTTAGTTGTGAAATCTATGTTTGAAAAAATCTGTGAACGGCATTTAGAAGTGATACACATAAAGGGAAAGTATTTACGAATGTCAACTTCGAGACATTTTAGAATATATTCTTACTATCAGGGGAATGACACTGATTAAGAATATACGCCAAAACATCATGTTCCTCATATACAGAATTTGACATTCGTAAATTATCTACCTTTACTGAACTTGTGTCTCGAGAGCAGCTTCTCCTTACTTGAACTTTTAGACATCTTACAATCACGGTGTACAGTTGTTCATCATCCATGGAAGAATTGTTCACACAGCAGAATGACAAGTGCTTGTTGGGCATCTCATAGCTTGTAGGCTTGAATAATACCATTGCTTTTTACCATTGTCCTTAGAATGACGCTGAAGCTGAGTAATGTCTGATCCAGTTTCAATGAATGATATATGCCTTGATTGTACGTATCATGATTTTTCAATGAATTCAGGCAGTTGTCTTCAGATTTACAATATTCAGGCAGTTCTTTCGTGCCACTTTAGCTATTATCAGATGATGTGATTCACACCGTGAGAAATGTGTAAATCTATCATTTTCAGTTGTACACTATAGTGCTATCTGGTGCATATTGTTTTGTAATGATAATGATATTAACATTTGTATGACAATTTTGTACACAAACAAATTAAATCTATTTTCTATATTTGTTGACTTGTATTGTGATTTCGGTTGGTATCAATTGCCAGACTGATGTAAAAATTAATAAATTATAGCCATAAACATTCCCTCTGGATTATGGTTGCCTTATTCCAGTGGTTACCACACACACACACACACACACACACACAGAAAAATGGAAATGAAAAGTTTACTAAGTCATAGTTCCCTTTGGTGGTATGCTCTCACCTACTGCAGAATTATCTCCCCTTAATTTCGTGACATAGCATGCCCTTTTGAATCTCACAATTTTTTTGGTTGGTATTAAATCCCACACTGATGTAAAAATTGATAAACTACACAGATTTGATCAACTTGGTAAGCCAGGGCCTGTGACATGAGTAGAAGCAAACTCCTTACCTACCTTGGACAAAAATGTCTTCTTGTCGGTTTCAATTACATGTACCTTGTGTCAGCATAACATTAATTCATGAGTCTTTAATGTAACATCCATTCTCACTTCAAGTGTGCACCCATTAAGATCCGTGTCAGAATTGTTCTTCAGTAACTCATGCTTGTCGTAAGAGGCGACTAACGGGTTCGGGTGGTCAGGCTCGCTGACTGGGTTGACACATGTCATCGTATCCCAATTACGTAGATCGATGTTCATGCTGTTGATCACTGGATTGTCTGGTCCAGACGCAATTATTTACAGACCGCGGTATATAGCTGGAATACTGCTGATAGCAGCGTTAAAAAACCAACCAGCCCCTTCAAGTGTATTTGTAAAAGACAAGGATCAATAGGAAAAAATGTGTAAAAATATTTATTGAATTATGTTTCAATCCTTGGGTATAAAGTATAACAAAACACTGATTGACAATACTGTCAAGTAAACACTGACAAAATAAAATACAATTGATTTTGAAAACTATATATGATCACTGTAAGCTCCAGCTCCCATTTAGCTGAAAAATACAAAAACATCAGCTCTGACTTAACAATGTTTTATTTATGTGGAGACAGTTTCGAAGTAGCAAGGAAATGTAATTCGGAGATCATCACCTCAGAAATCAGACCAACCAACATCCGATGACGAATGTAGAATATCTAATATCTCCAGCAGTACAGAGGTATTTAATACAGCTTTGCATCAATATGCGGTAACAAAATACTATAATCAAATAAATTATCACTGTATTGCTACAATGGCAAGTTTTCATAACGAGTTATGCTTCACTTAATATCAAGACAAGCCTTGCAAGTATGTGCTTTCCTATCAGGGGTGGAAATAACCCATTGCCCGACGTCCGAGTCCAGTGTTTTCTTCTGTCGGGCAAGCAAATTTGTATATCACGCTGTACCGGTGTCCAGTTGACTTTCCAATGTTAATTATGTTGTTTATTTAAAAAATCAACAAGAAAACGACCGGTATAGAGGAAAAATTATCAGGGCAAGTGATTTTACATGTGCCACTGTGGCGGAGTACACTAGCAATTTAAAGTTATTTCCATCCCTGCATATTAAAACCTACAAAATGGAAAAATGTGGTTCTGTTATTCCATAATTCTCAACAAACTATGAAACACTTTTTCATTAAATTAAGAAGATATGTGAAAATGAGAAAAGATAAAGAATCAGTGCAATTTGCATGGATACAGATGAGGTGTCTATTTTCTTGTGTACATGGTCTAAAGTTACTGATTTGTACTGATGAGAATTTGATTCGATATAATCACAACAATAAATTAAACTGTATGTCCCCAACCAGATGTGCAACAAGTGATTTGACCAGAAAACAATCACATATTCCAATTAAGGATGGAAGGTGTTCCGAATCTTCAATACTTTTGATAGCTAAAGTGAAGGTCAGTTACCCACTTTGACCTTGACCCACTTAAAAATGGTTCATGACCTTGACTTTTGACCTCAACGCCCCATGTTATGAGTTTCCTTTGGTTGGTCAATTCTGTAGATAAACTCAGCCAATGAAAAGTAGGCTCTGTACTTGACCTCGTTGGGCGTGGTGTCATAGTGGTAGTGACCTCCCTGACCATGTGTGCTGAAGCAGTGGAAATGCTCTACCCGAAGGTCAAGGTCCTAGAAGATGAGAGATCGATGCCATGTTAGACCAGATGAAAGGCTCAATAATTCACAAAAATATTGAAATTTAAAACATGAAGACAATTACTGAAAGAAATTCTGTCAAATTCTGTAACAGCTTATTCTTGACACAAGTATTGACGTCAAACAGGCCACAGTGACACCAGTGTTTGACCTCAAACAGGACACCAGTGTTTGACCTCAAACAGGACACAAGAACACCAGTGTTTGACCTCAAACAGGCCACAGTGACACCAGTGTTTGACCTCAAACAGGACACAAGAACACCAGTGTTTGACCTCAAACAGGACACAGTGACACCAGTGTTTGACCTCAAACAGGCCACAGTGACACCAGTGTTTGACCTCAAACAGAACACAATGTCACACCAACTGATTTTCATGAGCTTGACATTTGAAAGTTCCATAACATGAGATTCACAACCTGCCAGTAACTTGCCAGTTTGTTTTTAAACGCTGGACTAAGCAATATTGCAGCTATAGGTCAGTGGTCTGTACATGACCAAACAGGCCACAGTGATCGACACAATAAGCATCGACATACACAGATGGGATACAATGACATCATTCAAGTCACTTAGCCTGACCAGTCATCTGTTTGAAGGGGATCTTAAACCCAACAGTTGCATGGCAGTAGAGGCAAGCAGATGATTTGTACAGAATACAAGAACATAGCTCTGAGGGCAATATGAATATACACACTGTGTAAGTGACACATTTATCATGTTCACAAGTAACATTTTACAAAATATCTGTGCTCCAATTAGACTGATCTACTGATTGCCATTAAACTTTCATGGCCTAAACCTAAACCTAACCCTGAACCCTAACCCCTGAACCCTGACTAACCCAGAGGCCTGAACAGGGTCAGTTAACTTGTGACAAGCAAGTAATGTCATCACACAAAAAGACAACATGGCAGCCATCCGCCCGCCAGCCATTTGTACAGGTTTCACATCACCGTGACAAACTTATCAGTTTAAGCATTCTCTGGCGATTGTATGATAAGTAAACTTACAGGGTCATGTGACACCAGCTCTCCCAGGCACACCAGGGGTGCGTCCATCTCGAAGAACTTCAGCCAGTTGTTGACGTCTGCTTCAGAAGTGAGGGGAGTCTTGGAGAAGTCGGGCTGGAAGTGGACATCAAGTCAACACAGACACACTAACAGACATGACAACCATTATGATCTTGGTGGAATCACTGCCATATTTTTAACAAAATTCAGGTAAGATAATTCAGATAATTACGTCTTTCAGTTATATAATTCAATGAATTTTATTATGATTTTTGTCAATTATTTTGAAAAAAAGGTTCTTTCAAACAGTGAATAAAATCATTTAATGAACTATATTAACGATTTTTTCAAAATTGTGTCAAAACATTTTGTCAAAAGGTCCTTGCTGGTACTCTAACTGCATTTTGACCTCATATAGGCATTACCACATATGAAAACTTGTCTTATACACAGCAATACACGGTACATATAACAGTGGATATGTACATGGACAGTACATGTGTGTACTATAGAGAATAATACCACACATCAGTGGCCGATCCAGAGGGGGGTTCAGGGGGTTCGAACCCCCCCTTTTGAAACACGACTAAAGACCACTTTGAAGTTAATGTTTTGCAACGGCGGAGCCAAAGTGGGGTTCAGGGGGTTCGAACACCCTGAAACACCCCCACCCCATCCCCACCCTCTGAAAATTTCTGGATCCGCCCATGTACATAGTCTCTTTCATACTATCATGACTTTTTGTGTTACATGTTGTAATTTATGGTCATGTGACCACCTCTCAGTCACGTATACACTGTTTGTCACATGTACATGTGACGAGTGAGTGAATAAGTTTTGTTTTACACCGCAATCAGCAATATTCCAGCTATATGGCAGCGGTCTGTAAATAAATCGAATCTGGACCAGACAATCCAGTGATCAACGTCATGAGCATCGATCTAAGCAGATGGGATACGATGACATGTGTCAACCAAGTCAGCAAGCCTGACCACCCGATCATGTTAGATGCCTTTTACCACAAGCATGGGTTACTGGGGATCAATTCTACCCCAGATCTTCACGGGTCCGTACATGTAACACCCTCGACAGGTAATACTGATTACCACTGACCATGATGTGCAGGTAGGCCTTCCCACTCTCTATCAGGAAGGTTCCACCCAGGGCTACAGGCTTGGTATTGTAGTGATTGGCCAGACTCGTCCTCAAGCTGGTCATGAAGTTGTCCGGACCAGTTCTCTTGCTTGCAACAACTTCAATTACCTGGGAAACATATGCTGATAATAAACCTGGCAGAACAGCAGAGCTGATCACACGACCACAACTGATTTCAAACTGCAACCTTAATTGTCCCTGGTTCAAACTTTCCTTCATGAATACAATAAAGTTCTACATGACAGAAAGAATACTACAACAAGCGTCATCACTTTCAGCTGTTGTAACAGTATAGCATAGATAGTTGTCAGCTATTATAACAGTATAGCATAGATAGTTGTCAGCTATTTGTATCAGCCAATCAGGAAACAATAGTCTGTTCATGGGCGGGGCCTAATGCTTTCAGTTTATGGAAAAATAATTGCTTCTGAGACAATCAGACACGATGCATTATGGGTTGTATACCCTGAAGATTATCGAGGAGGGAGAGAAAATACCTTTCCTGGTTTTCCTTCTGAGCACAGGAAGTTCCCCATGAGACAGAAGTCTGTGGAGTTTACTTTCTCCAGAACACAGGCATCATTCTGGAATGAAACAAACACAGAGAGTGAACAAGTGGACGAATTGTGGATCAGCATATTAGTCCAGTCTTAAAAAACTTACACTGGCTAGAGGTCGCAGAGAGAATCAAGTACAATCTAAGTACAAGATTCTGGTACTAGTGTTCAAGAAGCGGCCTAAGGACTGGCACCACCTTATCTACAACATTCTGGTACTAGTGTTCAAAGGCTGATGCAAGGACTGGCACCACCTTATCTACAAGATTCTGGTACTAGTGTTCAAGGACTAGCACCACCTTATCTACAACATTCTGGTACTAGTGTTCAAGGCGCTGACGCCAAGGACTGGCACCATCTTATCTACAACATTCTGGTACTAGTGTTCAAGGCTGGCGCAAGGACTGGCACCACCTTATCTACAAGATTCTGGTACTCAATCTTATCTACAAGATTCTGGTACTAGTGTTCAAAGCTGTTATCACAACATTCTGGTAATTGTGTTCTCAAGGCAAGGACTGGCACCACCTTATCTACAAGATTCTGGTACTAGTGTTCAAGGCTGACGCAAGGACTGGCACCACCCTATCTACAACATTCTGGTACTAGTGTTCAAGGCGGCATAGGACTGAAAACACACCACCCTATCTACAAGATTCTTGTACCACTAGTGTTCAAAGGCGGCTTCAATGCGCAAGGACTGGCACCACCTTATCTACAACATTCTGGTACTAGTGTTCAAGGCGGCTGACTGGCACCACCTTATCTACAAGATTCTGGTACTACTGGCACCACCACCTTATCTACAAGATTCTTGTACTAGTGTTCAAGGCGACGCAAGGACTGGCACCACCCTATATACAAGATCTCACTAATGAGTATGAGCCACCCAGAGCCCTGAGATCAGGAGGACAACATCTTCTCCAAGTTCCACCACCCAGCAAAACCCGCTTTGGCAACCGCAGCTTCTTCAGAGCAGCCCCTGTTCTCTGGAACAGCCTTCCACACGAGATCAGATCCACTACAGAACTGACTATATTTCAGTCAAAATTGAAAACCCACTTTTTCACTGAAACATATTGTTAACCATTTGCAGTTTTTGTGTAGGCTCCAAAAAGTGCTTCTGAGCAGTTACTAAACTGGATACTAGCGCTATAGAAATATCTAGTTATTATGAATGCTATTTTGAATCAGCATGTATGCATATGTATAACATATATATGTAAATAATCAGCTTGGTAAATATGTCTGTTGCATGTCTCTCATGTCATCTTAATGTGGAAGATTAGTATCCGTGGTTGGTTTGTTGGGTTTTCTTGTTTCACTTCTTCAATGCAATACGAAGCAATGTTCCAACTATAAGATAGTTTCCTGTAACTAATTATGTCTGGACCAGACAATCCTGTGATTGATATTGTAAACAACAATCCACGCCCGCTCCGATTAGCGTAACTGCAACATGGGTAGGAAAATGTGCTTATTTCTGTTGTCAGTAATATGCTAGCTAAAAGACAGCTGTCTTCACCAGCAATCCAGTGATTGATATTCTGAACAACAACCAATGACATGTCAAATGACATCACAGCGGTATTGTCTTGTTCTGTCAACCTAATGACGTCACGCTTCATAATGACAACAACAAAAATTCCACGACCTAACAATGTTGGGTCAACAGCCCATTGCGAGTTCTTGAAAGTAAACTTACAATTAAATTTGTTTTGATACTGTTTTCTCTTTTTTTAACACAAATTCCATGCATTTTAGATATAATAGGGGTAACACTGTTTTTCAGGGCATTATAATTTGCAGAAGCCCACGGCCTTCCAACAACTTACAATTTCCAACCTTCCAATTGAAGACCTAGGGCTTCTGCAAATTACAATGCCCCGAAAAACAGCATTACCCCTATAATTCTGACCCTCAATCTCCCTAGAGGCCAGTGACAGGGAGTTTACTGGAAGACTGTTCCAATGTACTACCTGTATCTTGGCGACCCGTGAAGATCCAGGGTAGAATGGGTCTTTAGCAACCCATGCTTGCCACAAAAGGCGACTATGCTTGTCGTAAGAGGTGACTTATGGGATCGGGTGGTCAGGCTCGCTGACTTGGCTGACATGTCATCGGTTCCCAATTGCGCAGATCGATGCTCATGCTGTTGATCACTGGATTGTCTGGTCCAGACTCGATTATTTACAGACCGCCACCATATAGCTGGAATATTGCTGTGTGCAGCGTAAAACTAAACTCACTCACTCACCTGTATCTTGGCAGTGTAGGTGTTGTTGATGACACTGCCACTATCAGTCTCCGGAACCTTCACATTGCCCACCAGCTGAAACACAAGGATCAAATACTCAACAATAGTAGCTGGAACCACGATCTGACAGACACCATTAGCTGTATGATTGACTGTGCAGCCACATTAACATAGCTGTCTATAAAGAAGTAAAAACTCAATGAGGTTGGATGAGTGAGTGAGTGGGTATAGTTTTATACCGCTTTTAGTAATATTCCAGCAACATGACGACAGGGGACACCAGAAATGGGAATCACACATTGAAATATTTGTACCCATGTGGGGAATCGAACCCTGGTCTTAGGCATGACAAGCGAACGCTTTAACCACTAGGCTACCCCATTGCCCCTGAGGTTGGATGAATTAGGCGAAAAGAACTTAGGTTTAACTCCACTTAAAGGATTATCATGTCCAAGATTATTGCATTTTTGTAGCTTAACATGCATGTGTCCCTGCAAATCTACTGCTTGTGAGTAATGCCAGTACCATAGCAGGGCACGATTTAGTGCTTTGTCACTTGCACTGGTGCAGCCAAATATTACAAAGTGCAACCTTGTTATTAGTCTAACTTGCACCAGGTGCAAGTCAATTTTTGGAGAGGATAAACTTCTGAATAAAACATCTAAATAATTACAATAAAAGCAGTGCAACTGGAATTCGGCTGGTGCAACTTGGTTTTTATCTTAAGTTGCACCTGGTGCAAGTAGGTTAACATCTCTTAAATCGAGCCCTGTATAGTGTCAGGTGGGTTGGGATAGCCTAGTGGTTATAGTGGTCGCTCATCACACCTAAGCCCGGGTTCAATTCCCAACATGAGTAAAATGAAAGAAGCAGGGGTGGAAATTACCCATTGCCCGACGCCCGAGTCCAGTGTTTTTTTCTGTCAGGCAAGCAAATTTGTATATCACACTGTACCGGTGTCCAGTTGATATTCCAATGTTAATTATGTTGTTTATTTACAAAATCAACAAGAAAACGGCCGTATAGTGGAAAAATTATCAGGGCAAGTGATTTTACATGTTCCACTGTACCGGAGTACACTAGCAGTTGTTTCCACCCCATTTCTGGTGCCCTGTGATATTGCTAGAACATGGCTAAAAGTGGTATAATAACTTTATTCACTCATTCTGTAGTGTGAGCTCACTGATATATCAATTTGCAGTTAGAATGGACACTACATACAGAAATAGTATAGTGACTTGAAGCTGACCAGTGATTTTTCTATCTATTTAATGCTGATCACCAGGGAAGGTAACAACAAGTAACATAACTTCATGTCTTTTAATGGTGGCGTGACCCCCAAATTTATGCTCTTGGGACAAATGCTTTATCTACTTGGAAGATCGAGAAAGGTTACTCAATGGATGATCAAGCCCATTTCAGGTGTCCTCTGCCATGATAAACCTGGAATATTGCTAAAAGTGGTATAAAACTAAACTCACTCACTCAATGGAAGAGTCCATGTCTTACCTCGCTGTTGCTCCCTACAACATGACATGGACCGGCCCCAGCTCCAACAATGAAGGCACCTGGCAAGTTGACCAGCTTGGATATCAGGGGGAAGTTAAACACCTGCAATAGAAAGGGAACATCATGCAGGTACATCACGCTGTCGGTCTAAGTAAACTTAGCCTCAGTATTATTCGTTACACTGCTATATACTGAGTCTAACAAAACCTTGTGGGAGGTCGCGTCAGGTAACCTTTGAGTGACCTATGACCGTCCAATCAAACGCGAGACGACAGAACGGATTTAAACAATCAGACAACGGCTACTATTTAGGGTTCGGCGGGACTTACAAAATGGATTTACTCTTCCCCGGTCGCCAACACTGATCTCACAACAAATGAAAACCTGCATAAAACACAGATATATGACCTGCAGAATATATGCTTTTGGGTTTCTGTTGACATGGTTATCATAAGCTAATATTTCCCGAAACCTGACATCCTTGAATACTGACAAAATGCTATTTTCAGTGACTGTTTACTTACTGTTGTGGCGTGCTCCATGTGCATCACTCGGAAGCGATCGTACGGAAATAACATTCGGAAACGTTTGAGTACAACACTTTTTCGAGGTAAAAGTTCAAAAGGTATGTGCGAATGTCAACTTTCGCGATTTGGTAAGCTGTGTTCTGATTGGTCAATTGAAAAGGTTACCTGATGCGACCTTCCACAAGGTTTTGTTAGACTCAGTATAGCAGTGTAACGAATAATACTGAGGCTAAGTTTACTTAGACTGATCACGCTGTCACCAGTTAAGATCCAGGTTAGATTAACTTAGAATCGATGTAGCTTGTCATGAGAGGCGACTAACAGAATTGGGTGGTCAGACTCCCTGACGTGGATGACAAGTGTCATCATATCATACATACCTCCATGCTCATGACAATCACTGGATTGTTTGGTCCAGTCTTAAGTATTTACAGGACACCATCATGAAGCTTGAATATCGTTAAGCATGGAATGGAAAACAAACGAAACATCACTCCAACAAAACACACACTCATTTGACATGCTCAATCATGATGCCACCATGACGATCTGAATGTTATCAAGGCCTGCAATTACTCATATGTTAGCGGATAGCAAAGTTACAATTTTACATGCACATTTAAAATGGTTCCTAGGTGACATCTTAAAATATTTTGTGATAGTGTATATATGACAGGGGCAGTGGGGTAGCCAAGTGGTTAAAGTGTTGGCTCGTCATGCCGAAGACCCGGGTTCGAATCCCCACATGGGTACAATGTGTGAAGCTCATTTCTGGTGTCCCTCGCCGTGATGTTGCTGGAATATTGCTAAAAGCGGCGTAAAACCAAACTCAGTCAGTCAGTCAGTATATATAACATACAACCTATGATAAATGTTGTAGAGCAAGAGGAATGTGGACAAACATGAAAAAACATTTTTACTCAAACATGCTTAATACAAGGAATAATTATTGATGAAATGAACCTGAGACTTCAGAAAGTAAAGTCCCATCCAGGATTCGAACCCACACCCTCCAAGTCAGGTACCAAATAGCCAGCACAGCAAGTCAGCCGTCTAACCCACTCAGCCACCACCACTTCCACAAAAAATGGAAATGAAGATCACATACTATGTGTACCTCTAGTGTAATTTGGTATAGCCGAAACCTATGAATACACAATGTCATCTAGGTCAGGTGAGGTGAAATTGGGTTTAACGTCGTACTTGAGAACATTTCGCTCATATGACGACGTGCATGCGTGTGTATGTGTATGTGTATGTGCGGCTGCATGTACTAGCCCAGACTTAAGCTGGTTTTATAGTGCTAGCTCACTGAGATACATTGCCGCAGTGAAGCATGAATACCCCACTCAGACACAGTTTACTGACTCCGAGCAGACCAGTCCTTGTTGTACCCATTAATGCCGAGCGCCAGGCAGGGACCAACAAGTACCATATTTTAACGTCTTTTGGTATGACGCGGTCGGGGATCGAACCCGCGACCTTCCACTCTCTGGGCGGGCGGACGCTCTAAATGCCATCTAGAAAGTGTGGGTTTGAATCCCAGATGGTAATCTGTACTTTACTGAGAAAGTTCCCAATATAACATATGTTACAGATGATAATAAGGCCAGACCAATTTTTTTCTCTTGTTTCACAGATCCGCCGGTCGTATTTTTTCAAGAATAAGAAAAAACAAAACACGCAAATTATTTTTCCCCGCTCAAAAACTAAATTTCTAATCTTTTTATTTGGCCAAAAATGTAAAAGTACAAGAATTATTTTTTTAGATTGTATTTTGCCCCATATACACTTAATAAATTCCCAAAAGTAAAATACTTTTAGTATTTAGAAGGAATATTACTTTGACTGGTGATTATATTTTTATTTTTTCCCCTCCTGCCCTTAGGTTTTCTGATGACAAATGTCCGTAAAACAAGAAATAAAATTGGTCTGGCCTAAATGACATTACAAATGCGAATATTCTTGATTACAACCACTTCCAATCAAGTTCATTAAAAAATGACATTCACCAGGTATGAAGAAGGAATAAAATAATGTTCTCCATGTTGACACACTAAATTAAAAAGGCTCTCCCCTTTGCAAGTACACTCTTGAACACTTGATAGAATTACAAAATAACACTTCTATCTCGTATTATCCACCAGACCGCCTCCGTGGTGTAGTGGTAAGAGCGTCCGCCAAGAGAACGGAAGGTCGCGGGTTCGATCCCCGACCGTGTCATACAAAAAGACGTTAAAATATGGTACTTGTTGGTCCCTGCCTGGCGCTCGGCATTAATGGGTACAACAAGGACTGGTCTGCTCGGAGTCAGTAAACTGTGTCTGAGTGGGGTATTCATGCTTCACTACGGCATGGTATCAGTCTGGCTAGTACAAGCCAGCTTCAGCAGAAAGCCGCTATTACTAGCATACACACGCATGCACGTCGTCATATGAGCGAAATATTCTCAAGTACGACGTTAATCCCCATTTCACCTCACCTCACCTATTATCCACCAACCTTGTCCCTCTGAGCTAGAGGCAGGAGATAGGGGGTTCCCCCAACATCGGCCAGTCTCGGACTCCCACATATACCTTGTAAACAGACAACAATTACATCATCTAGCAGTGCTTCATCTAAACGGGTAATTGAAATAATTTTGGGGAAAATATGTATATTTTGCAAGTTTTGATTGATTTTATTCATGTGTTTATATGCTGCCAAATAAACTGAAGTTTAACATTGATGATACTGTGACCATGGTGACTATGGAAAATTGGTAATTCATGTACTTTTGACAGGTTGAAAATATTAACCTGACATAATTTCAATTGGTACCATTTCATTCCATAAAAATGTGTCATAGTTTTGAACACTGAGTTTTATTTATAGAATTACAAAATAAATTTCAAGACCATTGGATGAGAGTGACTTATAATTATTTTTAAAAATGTGAGTCGAGTGAGAAAATAATTAATCAAATGGTGGCACCTTTGGATGACGGGGCTATTTACGTCACTCTAAAATGCTCTGAATCATGACATTGAATCCTGACAGAAAAGAATAGTCCCTGTACCTTTGGCTGACAATAGGAAGGGTTCCTGAGTCAGGTCCGGACACTCCACCACATTCACTGTGACATTCTCAAAGTTCTTAGCGAGTCCTTCTTGCAATACTGAAAATATCACAATCATAGGAATTACTCTACATATCATGAAGCACATGTATATTTTGGCCTATCATCTAAAACAGGTTTCCACTGGAGACATTACCAGGATGAGATCAAGCCTTATTACACATGTGTTTTGAATACTGTCGAGCACCGTTGTCTTGATATTCAAGGGACCAAGAAAAAATATCGAGTTATCTGAACTTCGAGACATCCGACCAGGGCCTCGTTTCACAAAGCTCTCGTAAGCCTAAGATCTTGTGACTTTTCTCGTAGCATTCGAATCTCCTATACTGTAACATAGGAGGTACGAATGCTACGAGAAAAGTTACGAGATCTTAGGCTTTGAGAAACGAGGCCCAGGGCATATCATCACATATCACTATGAAAGAAAACAAAAAGTTTCGAAACTATAATCCGTTATCAGTTGTGTTTAGACGTAACTGTGGGTACTTCCTAATTAATTCCTTCTTAATTAATCCTAACAAAATAACAAACAAGCATCACCTTCAACTCAATAAGCCCTAATTAGTTTACTCTACTGCATCCCTTTGATTCATGCTGCACAATGTGTAAACGTGGGGAAACAACCTCAGTTCAGAGGGATACCAGGGCGGTGGGGTAGCCTAGTGATTAAAGCGTTCACTTGTCACACAGAAGACCCGGGTTCGATTCCCCACATGGGTACAATGTGTGAAGCCCATTTCTGGTGTCCCCCGCAGTGATATTGCTGGAATATTGCTAAAAGCGGCGTAAAACAGTACTCACTCACTCAGAGGGATATTGCTAAAAGCGGCGTAAAACAGTACTCACTCACTCAGAGGGATATTTGTCCATGAAAGGTTGGTGAATATAGAGTTTCTTTGCAAATATCGAGTTAAATGGGTAATTTTGCTTGTTGGGACCATGAAATTATATCGAGATATCCGAAATATCTAGGTATCCGTATCGAGTTAAAAAAGCTTGAATAATGATAAATTATGAAGGATTTTGCCGGTACCGAGATGTTATATCGAGACAACCAAGATATCAGAGTTCGACACAACGGTGCTCGACTGTATTTTCATAACAGAGATGGCAACAGGAAATTCAAATTTCAGCTGAAATGTTAATGTGGTTTTATCGACTCTGGGATTTAGAAACATTTGAAATAAAATCCGTGAAAATCCGAGGATCAGTGGAAATTGCCATCAGTGTTATAAGATAATTTTGGTTATTTGAAACAGGTATTGTGTAACCAGATGAAAGGTATCTAATCAGTGTTGTGTAACCAAACTAGGTTATACAAAGATAGGAACGTCATGATGCCGAACTTTCTGTTGCCACCTTGATATTTTAAAGGGCAAGTTTACACGAAAATTAACCTTTTTGTCTTGCACTTTTTCATAATAAAAAGTGTTTGGCAAGTTGTTTTATTGCCAAAACAGTACATATATCAGAAGTAACTAATTTATTTTTTGCGCTATATCCATTCAAATTTTCCACATTAACCGAGAGTTCTATGACCACAATAAACACACCATGGCTTATGTCCCTTGGAAATGACGTCATTGGTGCCAGACTGATAAACGAATGACGTTGTTAGAACCATTTCACGTGGTGCAGGTATAAGTGTGGTTCTAGTGTCTCGATGCGCAGGCTACTGTTTTAATCCAGCTGTTGCCTGGCCATCAGCTGGCTATGTGGTCAGTTCCATGCTGTGATGACGTTGCAGTTTGAAAAAACGTATACACTGTACAAACAATGTTACCACGTAACCAAATTGTACAGCATTCAACCTGAGTCGGTCGTCTTTCAACAGTATCGTTTTTCACAAAAACTAAAACGTTATGCACTATATCTAGCTTGCCATCGGTGAATGTGTCGGCATTCTACTTTTGTTACATAAATTCCTACATAAATCGTAAATATATGTCCCACATCTTCCTCTCTTCCCACCTATCAATACCATATCCAAATACATCACGAAGAAAAATGCAGTTGGCAGGTTTTAATTCTGTTTGAAATTCGGTTTTCTATGACATCATCCGCTCATTGTAAGGCAGATATACTGAAAATTAAATCTGGCCAGTTTTGACACATTACGAAATACACACAGTTAACGTCCAAGTGAATTTTCAGCCACATTGCAGAGTGTTTATAAAATCACGTCACACGTACTCTTACACAAATCCCTGAATTCCTTATACAGTTCAAAATAAAATGACAAATTGTCTTTGTCACTTATAACAAGTGTTTCAATGAAATCTAACGAATGATATCAGATGCCGCGCTGGGAAAGGACCACTTGTTTGAAATGTAAACAAAGTCGTGTATCTGTTCGCCTGCTTTTGTTGCATACACTTGCTCATTAGTTTTAGACCATGCATGGGAAAGGTATTGTAGCAAGCGATAGTTAAATAAAATAGGTGTATTCCAATGATTTCCGAGATTCATCACAACATATTATAGTTTCTGAAAGCGTGACGCCATGACTGATGAAAAACTCATGCACACCGACGACGGAAGTACTCCTCATTTCTGACTATTTCCCTTGGTCACAATGAAAACAAAAAGAAAATATGAACCAGCAGATTGTCAGAATGTTTCAGACTACTTACATGTCACATTTATGTATACACGCTGCTTGAAACAACAAAATTTTCCGTCGAAAAATCCGGCGTACTCGTGTCAGTGGACACGCCATTTTGAGAATGTCGCTTCCCGATGGTGATGTCACACGTACGTCAACATTGTTACACATATTTGCTATGTTCATTGACGTGAGGTTATGAATGAAAATACCGTACACACGATCAGTCTGTCCTGCTGCTTACATTTTCAGTTCTTATGCTTCTTTCGTATCTTCACAAACTTTTCTCACGTAATTAATTTCAGTATTATTATCTTTTGGTTTGGGACTAGACAGGAGACCAGTCTAAAATTAAGTGGCACCAATTACGTCATAATCAAACGGCGGCAACCCTAGCCTGTTTAGCTCGACAAACAAGGACCGCATGATGGCATAACATTTCAGCAATTATTTTGAGGGTTATACTTTCATTGTAAGAAAAATTTCAAACATTGATATTAAATAATTAAAATATTTCATTTTGTTGCATATAAGAATAAATGTGATTTTATCGTGTACACTTCCCCTTTAAATTAACATTAAGACTCCATTCAAGCAGTTTTTGACAAAAAATGTCAACCAAACAAAACATTAAAAAAATGAACAATATAAGTGGTGTGGCAACATGTGTGGCTACGCGCCAGCACGTGCTTTTTATGATCTCTATACACGTGGTCTAATTGTTGACAACACACTCAGTTCCTCTGTGTTTGTGTGAGATCTATGGCTGTGTTTCTGTGTTTCTTTCGGACTTCTACTGGATTTATGTTCTTATTTTGTTTCGAGGTGTTTCTCTCTTTTTTTTTATTTATTCTGGACACACTAATGTGAGTATAGTTTATATGTATATATATCCCTTTCAGTTATTATACATCATCCATGGGTACCCGAAATATGAGTGCAAACCGTCAGGGTCTCATTTTAGTTTTAGTTTTATTATTTTACACCATACATTCTTCACAGCTCTTTTCGCTTTGGTCTAAGTATAGTCATGGCGCTTCTGTGTCATGAACTGTTCACATGATTTGTACATCATATGCTTATATTGTATTGTAACCTGAATGTACTTTGTTGAGTTTTCGGGAATAGACTGTAAAACATCTTTAAAAACAATAAAATTATTTTTTAAAAAGTTTGTGGATAATTAAAACTAAATTTCGGTGTCCTTTAAATAAGTATTATTTTTCAAATGAATATTTTTAATGGTTTATTTTCATCTATAAAATAGTTGTGGCAGAGTTATCCCCCTTTCATTTTATTACACGCAGCATAGTCTGCTTGATTTGTCATCATGGATGCTGAATATTTTGCGAGTGAATAAATCAAAACGCTTGAAAATATTGAGTTGGAATATTTCCATATTCAACACCCACTCCTTTCTAATCTCTATATATCTCAGGAAATATTTGTACAATGGATGTGTTGATCACTATGACCACATCAGTTACCATGACATCACAATAAAATGACATCACTCATCTCTCAAGATCTGACACTGAAAATGACTAGCTCTACTTTCCACCCGCAAGGCACTAACTAAATGTTTTTGAAGTGGTCCTTTAGAGACCGTTCATAATGTGTGTGTGTGTGTGTGTGTGTGTGTGTGCGTGCGAGGCTGTGTGTGCACAAGTGCGTTAGGGAGGTCATAAATTTTGTACACATGTACTAGGGGCATCATCAATTTTGTACACATTATTAAATAATAATGCTTAAAAAATATGGGAAGGGAGGGGGGGGCATTGATTTTGTACATGACATGCAGGGGGGTCACTTACTTTGTACATACATTTTTTTTGGGGGGGGGTCACTTACATTGTACATGCTTCTCCATAAAAATCATCATCACCTCCTCCTAGCCATAAATTATGAACGTCCCTTAGATGATGAATAGAATTTCAACCATATGTCTTCTGATATCTAACAAAGCAATACTTATAATAAATGTTTTAGGGTCTTCCAGACTATTTAGCTTTTAGCAACTTATTTCAATATATTAGCAAGTAAAAGACATGAGTGTGTGATTCTTTTCATGTATCACAAGTTCAGATTAACCAAGGATTGTAGTAAGTGAAGTAGACAGCATAGGACATCTTAGCTTGTCAAACAAGAGCAGCAGTTTACAGTCTCACAATCCTTGAACCACATTATTTTCAATTCCACCCGTCCCTTCCTGTGATGCAAAACCTCTCAATGAAGTGCCGATGTGACGTTAAATAGCAACTCTCTCACTCTCAATGAAGCAAGTCTAGATTTTACTCTGAATTTTCCATCATTAATTAGGTTTAGATTTTTTCAAGCTCTTTAGCCAAGATAGTGTAAGTTAATGTTAATGAATGGCACTTACGACTATCTTAGCGCTAAGAGAGGTTCGAAAATCTAGGCCCAGGGCTCCTGCAGTTATTTGTTTCAATCACAATTGTATAATTCCAGAGACCAAGTGTTAGTCTACAGGATTTAAGTTCAATTAACATATTAAAATATTGTGTAAACACACATATATTCCTTATATGATGCCAAAAAATGCAAAATGAATCCTCACACACAAACCATGATTTAAGGTTTGAGAAAATCTTTTGAGCATATATACTAATGTTTTCATTTACTTTGGATACTGATGTTTCTCAGGTATTCAATATTGTCTTACTCCCTTGGGTAGTTTATTAAGTATTTTTGAACAAATGAAGTTCTATAAAACATAACTGAACTTCTTTGAGTGGCATTTTAGAAGTTCAAAGTCAGACAGAACAAGTATATATATATGGATGACAACTTCTTTAATTCTAGAGCACGACCTGTATCGAAATGTCATGCTCTAGAATTAAAGAAGTTTTCATCCATATATACTTGTTCTATCTATAATGGAGTAAAACTGCATCAAGTACCTTCTAGTTTGAATGCATGTCTCCCTGTGTGACCTATCACAAAAGCTCATGACAGGTAAACGTACGTGTTGAAGTAATAATATATCAGACATAGCAGTCTCTGCATTATTCACTGCAAGTGAATTCCTGTATATACGATCCCTGCATTCAAATCAGTAAATAAGTATCTGGACTGACACACAGGTACGCATGCTGGCGAGGCTATACGTTGGTTATTTTGTATGAAATAACAATTTTCATCTAGAAATTTGCACACGACCAGACGGAGTATTCCATGTGGAAGTGGGTTATACACACTGATAAGCATGACATGATAATTCTCGGTGACCTTACTCTCAACACGGGGACAGCTAGGAGGGCGGTTTATCAGGCAAAGCTTGTTGCTGGCTGAAGCATTCGCTTGTCCCTTCGATTCTTAGGGCTAGTTGGGTTAGGGTAGGTTACCCCCTCCTCCAACTCTGTCCTTAGCCCTTTGGACCCAGGTTTCCTATGTAACACCTCTTTACGATCTCTAGGGTTATACGTGCTGGGTAGATACCCGTTCAGTCGAATGCAATCACTTGTGGAAGTTGTGAATCGAACACCGACAGTGACATGAATGTGCAGATGTAAACATAATAGATCTACCTTTGGCTGCCTCTGCCATAGGGGGCACGTGCATGGGGGCCTTGACAACGGGAGCCGACATAGCTGTGGAGATGACTAGGAGAAATAAAGTCGAGCACACTGTGAAATGTCCCACTTCTACAGTACATCTGTTCAGCTCCCAACCTCGTGCCGTGCGAAGATTCAGAGCCGCGTATAAACATCAGAAAACAAAGGGAAATAACTCTCATACCTAGCCGTTATTCAACGAAGCGGTACTATAATATGAAATGGCTACACAGTTGGTACTTCTGTATGGAATTGAATTAGTATCGAACCCAAAATTGAAGAATTTTTTTAACCTTCTGTCTTAAGCAGGCGGGATGTAACTATCACAGGGGCTTGTAACGCTAAAAACTGCCATCAAGTCATATATTGTCACTGACGGGGTCTTAGTACTATATAAAAGGATCCTTTTAAATGGTACTAAGCCCCGTCAGTGACAGTATATGCCTTGATGGCAGTTTTTAGTGTTACAAGCCCCTGTGATAACTATTTAAGGGCCGTTCACAATTTATGGCTAGCGGGGGTGGGGGTGTCATCAGTTTTATGCACATGTAGCCATAAATTATGAACGATCCCTTAATACGGGTCAATATGTATGCCGTTAATAAACGACTTGTGTATGTAAATTGGCCTCGTCGCTCTATGGTTGAAATGATGCCGATGCGACGGAAAATCTTCACTCACTAACATGTCGTGTTAATCAGTCATGAACACGTATTCTTTAGTTTGTTTGTTGTTTAAGGTGCACTCAACACTATACCAGCTATATATGACAGGTGCTGTAATAATCGAGTTAAGTCAGACAAGCCAGTGATCGATATTATGAGCATCGATATTTACGCTAGTCGCTATCAACTGAATCGGCGAAAATGGTTGCCTCGTGAGTGAGTGAGTGAGTTTGGTCTTACCCCGCTTTTAGCAATATTCCAACAATATCACGACGGGGCACACCGGAAATGGGCTTCACACATTGTACCCATATGGGGAATCGAACCCGAGTCGTCGGTGTGACGAGCGAACGCTTTATCCACGATTCTACCCCACCGCCCCTTGTCTCGTAAAACCTGTATATATTGCTGGTGATTTATTCGGATACTTATTAATCCGGGAAACGTTATCCGGATTAATAAGGTTCAACAGAAGATATCTATGTCCACTCGCGTTGAGACTGAAGAGGGTTTCGCCTGACGGGTGGGAGCGTCAACTTCCTCGACGGACTTAACTGTCAGTGAAGTATGTAATGGCCCTGTGCCGTCCTTGATTGAGGTCAGCGTGACCCAGATGCCTTGGCCCACTGGCAGATGGTCATTGTTCTCACGCGGTGTCTATTTTGGTTTTGGTTACAAAGTCAAATAATGTCACTATTATAGAAAACTTAGTTAGGTCATTCTCTTGACGTAACTCTCCATTCCGAAGTGGATCGAATATTCTTGGGTTGTGAAAGAGCTAGTTTGTAAAAAAATGTACTTTAGTTTATTTCACTTGGACAAGAAAGGGAAAAACTGCATTCGTGGATGCAATCATCTTTGAGTATTAGTATTATGACCATATGAGCACAGATTCTGAATTTTGTTTCCACGGCCAGTCCAGACTGGTACACGGGATATGCTGCGCTGGCGCTAGATTGACCAAGGCAGGGACTACACAATGGCGGCCTTCACTACTGGGAGACACGCCATATACTTGCTATACAAATATGCGAGACCTAGTGGTTAGACTTACTAGTAGTACTTCTCGTTTTCATCGATACTATTGCAAAGCATACGACGTCACCAGAATAACGCCCACCGTTACTTTTAGAGAAGGAAAATTTTATTTAGGTTAGTTGGTTGGTTTGTTGTTTAACGCCGCACTCAGCAATATTCCAGCTATATGTCTGTAAATAATGGAGTCTGGGCCAGATCAGTGACCAACATCACGAGATCGACGCAATTGGGAACCGATGACATGTGTCAACCAAGTCAGCGAGCCTGACCACCCGATCCCGTCAGTCGCCTCTTACGACAAGCAAGAGGCTACTAACGCGATCTGGTACGGTAGCCAGGCATGCTGGCCTCGATGGTTGGTATACCCGTATTCGCTTGGAGCCCTCGCAGCACATGTACCTTTCCATCCATAGCTTTTGTGATATTGTGTGAAGCGCGTGCTTTACATGTGAAATTCATGAATGCTACGATGTGATCGCCTATGTGAACCAAAGGTTTTAAAACCGCCTTTGGATATATATGTTGCTGAATTAATGTGCATCTGTAATGCATTGAATGTGTTTACTATTATAATAACACACGATGACGTGTTGCCTCCGTGTTGGTTCATTGCATCAAAACTTTCTTGTTTCTTCTGTACTGCAATAACAATGGTCAATGTTTATGTAGAATACAAAACATGACTGAAATAAAGAATATATGGAATAAACCTCAAGATATTCAAAGAGTACGACCGCCTCCGTGGTGTAATGGTTAGAGCGTCCGCCCGGAGAGCGATCCCCGACCGCGTCATACCAAAAGACGTTAAAATATGGTACTTGTTGGTCCCTGCCTGGCGCTCGGCATTAATGGGTACAACAAGGACTGGTCGGCTCGGAGTCAGTATAATGTGTCTGAGTGGCAGTATTCACTGCGGCATGGTATCTCAGTGGGCTAGCACTATAAAACCAGCTTCAGTCTGGGCTAGTACAAGCAGCCGCACATACACATACACACGCATGCACGTCGTCATATGAGCGAAATATTCTCAAGCACGACGTTAAACCCAATTTCACCTCACCTCACCTATTCAAAGAGTACAGCTTTGTCTTCCAACAATACATGGTATGATGCTGAATTTGTATAAATGTTGTTCGACCCATTTCTTATTATATATGAACTTGGTGGATAGCTATTGTGTACTGGTCCAGTTTTACAGTGTTAGCTATAGCGACCCTGAGATACCATGCCGAATCTTAACGTGGATACTGCACTCAGACAGGGCCCACTGACTTTGAGCCGACCAGTCATTATTTTAATAATAATAATAATAATAAAATAATAATAATAGTAGGTATTTCTAACTGCGCCTGTATCCGTGCATTCAATGCTCGTTCAATGCGCTACAAAAAAGGGTAAATCTAGCTACATAATAGTTGAAGTTAAAATGCTGATCACCAGGCAAAGTAACAACAAGCATCTTCTTTCGGTGTCGAATGGTGATGTGACCGGACATTCAACCGCTTAGCTTGTGTTCTCCAGAGAGGTGTTCCATCCTCCAGGACATGGATGGTCGCTGCCCTGTCTAACGTTGTATGCTGCCTCCACTTCATGCCCAGACTAACGCTTAGTCTCCTTTGAAATTGAAAAAGAGCTCCAGTGATATGGCAGATTCAGAACCTTTGGAAATCTAGACTCGCTTAATTTAAGTGAGTGAGTTTAGTTTTACGCCGCAATCAGCAATATTCCAGCTATATGGCGGCGATCTGTAAATAATCGAGTCTGCACCAGACAATCCAGTGATCAACAGCATGAGCATCGATCTGCGTAATTGCGAACCGATGACATGTGTCAACCAAGTCAGCGAGCCTGACCACCCGTTAGTCGCCTCTTACGACAAGCATGGCTTGTGCTTAATTTGAGGCTTTAGCATTGCAGAAAGAACAGGACTGAAGGAAACTATTGCCTTTCAGGGACTGTGAGACAGACTACCTCATCCCTCGATGCTGATCACCAGGCAAGATAACAACATCATCTTGTGGGGTAGTCTAGTGGTTAATGCGTTCGTTTGTAACGCCGAATACACGGGTTCGAATCCAAACATTGGTACCATGTGGGGAATCCATTCCAGGCGTCTCCTGCCGTGATATACTCATGCCAATAATGGTTGTCACCCCAAAACAACCCCACCCCAACCCCCACCCCACCCGACCACCACACATTAAAAAAACTTGAAGGGGTGACAACCATTATATTGGCATGAGTATATTACTGGACTATTGCTCAAGACGGCGTAAAACTATACTCACTTACATTAATGCCTTTCGGTATAATGCTGCAGGGGATCGAACCTTCCTATCTCCCGACAAACACTCGGTCCACTCCGCCATTAGTTTTTTTTTTCATCAAGAACATAACTTTGTTTAAAATTAATTATTACAACAGATAAAGTTACGATTTTGAAAATAATAACGAACTGTTAGCAAGCTCATGACCACAAATGATAAATACCGGGCTAAAGAATGTATTTAACTGGAGTTAACCAAAACTTCACACACGTTTCGAAAACTAAATCGAGTCAAGAAAAACTGGAAACCTAAGGGCTAAAACACGACTATTATTTTATGTAAACATATTTCAGGAATGGTTTCATGTTTCTGAAAATTAGGTACATTTCAGACACTAGATGTCATTCTAACCCGTATCAAATACATTATCATGGAATATGTTGCTTCTTTTGTGGCTGCACGTTTCTGCCCTTCCCCTCCTTTATGGAAACAAAAGGAAAAAAACAACATACGCTATTAATACTTTTTTTTACACACGGTATTCCTTTACAGACATGAGTCGCGTCACGATACTGAGACATGGTCGTTTATATATAATACGTTATTAGAATTTTTCACAAAATCGTTGAATTCTGATAATTCTGCTTTATTGCCGCGTAAACCATAACATGTTTCTTATAAACTAAATCTCGTAGCCTTACACACACGTGTGATTGCTGAAATAGTTAGTGAGTATGGTTTAACGCCGCGTTTAGCAATATTCCAGCAATATCACGGCGGGGGACACCAGAAATGGGCTTCACTCATTGTACCCATGCGGGGAATCGAACCCGGGTCTTCGGCGTGACGAGCGAACGCTTTAACCACTAGGCTACTCCACCGCCCCGATGGATGAAACAACATAATACGAGACTGTGCGTCAGTCACCGCAAGAGTCTTATACAATCATTTATGCATTAATGCGAAAATACTACATAAAGGCCTTTGGGCCTTCTACAAATAAACATATCTGACCCGGGCACTCGGTTCCCGCCAGTCAAAGAATATATAAGCTTATGATTCGTCTCATCACAGGAATGTAGATATAGCTGCCACATCTAAATATATCCGTCAGTACATCCGATAGTTCAAAATAGAAAACAGCCATCAATCAATGTTGTTTATAGGACATAATTAGTTGTGTATACAATAACCCAACAACGATACGCTTCCGTAGTGATATAACGAGGAGAATTAAATCATGGTGCGCTCATGTTGTACAATATGTCCCCTCCGGTCTTCCGTAGTAACAGCTGTTGGCTCGAGATCCTTGATCGTTGTGTGTGATAACAGTCTGGCCCTCGTGACACTGACCCACTGACCTTGTCCAGCAATAGTGCCATGTCAGTGATGGTGCCTGTCAGACTGAAAGTCATATAATTTGAGTTTCCATAACATACTATCCAGAACCATCAGATACGTTGTCCTTTTTGCGCGTACCATTCATAACAATCAGTCTAAGTATAACGAATAATACTGAGCCTAAGTTTACTTAGACTGTCATAACAATCTGCTTTCATTGGGACCTTTCTTTACTTCATGATAATCTTGCATTCATAACTGACTGACTGAGTTTGGTTTTACGCCGCTTTTAGCAATATTCCAGCAATATCACGGCGGGGGGACACCAGAAATGGGCTTTACTCATTGTACCCATGTGGGGATTCGAACCCGGGTCTTCAGCGTGACGAGCCAACGCTTTAACCACTAGACTACCCCACCGCCCCCCGCATTCATAACTGAACAACGATAGATAAAATATATTATTTTCTTACTGTGTCTCTATATTAAATCACAACGGACATTAAAGAGTTAATACACTGCATATTTGTAGCACACGTGTTTTTTCAAAGTATTCATTTTCAGGAAAAACATATTTGTTTCACTTTTTGCTTCGCTGGGCAATAACTAGATATGCAATAAAAGACACTGGCACTGTATCTGTTAATATCAACGGAATCATGCAGGTAGTCCTGTTTTCGTTCACACGCTAACTCTCATTATGTCTGGGGTCACGGATGGCCCTGTCGTCTAAAGCGCTGCAATTAATCGTGCAGAGTTGTGCATGCCAGAAACCTATGTTTGGGTGTTTGAATACGGGGTTGTCCCGAGTTTTCCAGGCCTGCATCATACCCATACCACAAGTTTCAGTTAAATGATAATACCTGTGAAGATCACTGGATTGTCTAGTCTAGACAATAATCGAGGCTGGACCGGACAATCCAGTGATCAACAGCATGAGCATCGACCTACGCAGTTGGGATACGATGACAAGCCAGCATGCCTGGCTACCAGTCGCGTTAGTCGCCTCTTGCTTGCGTAGACCTCATGCTGTTGATCACTGGATTGTGTAGTCCAGACTCGATTATTTACAGACCGTCGCCATATAGCTGAAATATTGCTGAGTGCGGCCTTACAAACAAACAAACAAACCTATGTAATATTCCGTTAGACCTGCATCCCGCGATTCAGACCACCCACATTCAGCTGCCACTCCTCATGTAGCTGGAATACTGTCTGAAACTCACTCACTCACTCACATCTATATAGCAACAGGGATTTTCAGTTGTCTATTGCCGCTATATTTACAAATGCAACAAGGGTCTTATGAAATTAAATTTTAAACAGTTTGCGTAAGTATTGTACAAGGTTCGACCATTTTACAGATTCCGTAAGACAGATGTAATATGTTTTACATTAATAAATTTCCCTCATCTTACAGGTTTCAACGGGGTTGGGGTAGCGTAGTGGTTAAAGCCTTTGCTCGTTACACCGAAGACGGTGTTCAATATCCTAATGGAAACAATACATAAAGCCCATATCCACGATATTGCTTGAATATTTCTAACCAGATGTAAAGTCGCTGTTCAGACTTGGTGACATGGTTGCCTGCGACCTGGTTGCTATGGTTGATTGACAGAGCGACCAAGAAACAATCCGTGGAAACTTGGACTCAAACCGATGATTAAAGGTCCCTTGAGTGTCAAAGAGACGCAACTCTGCACAGTAAATTGAGAGCAGAAAAGTATGAAAAATGTCTTTACTATTTGGAGATTCGAATTCAATCTAACTTATTTCAGCCATTCAAATTTTCGCATTTTTCTTTCAATTTGTAACTCAGTACTCTATAGTTCTAAAAGTATGATATATTCATGGCGCTGTCACGCATAGTAAAGTTAAAAATCTCCAAAAGCGACAGCATGCCCAAGGCCCTATATTATCCCCGACAATGGAACAGTATGTGCTTGATTCTTATTCTCAGCTCCCTGGGGAGAATACAACCCAACAGTCACCTTACCAGTTCATCCTACTGGGCATCCCTTCACTATTTGGTTGCCAGGGGCACACTCGAACACACTCACTTGCCCAAGCCAGGATATACCACATGTGCTACTTCTCCTTCCGGGTGAGACAGGACCCAAGACCTAGAAACTCTCAGGAGTTATGCAGGGCGATGGGGTAGCCTAGTGGGTAAAGCGTTCGCTCGTCACTCCGAAGACCCGGGTTTGATTCTCCACGTGGTTAAAATGTGTGAAGCCGATTGTTGGGGTTTCCCCGCCGTGATATTAGTGGAACATTGCTAAAAACGACGTAAAACCATACTCACTCAGGAGTTACGCCGCCGATCGCGTCTCCGAGAGCAATGTATATTTAGTGGGAAAGAAAACCGAAATGCAAGTACTTTACTTGGAGTTTTATTTGTGTTAAATATTGGTAACATATTACATATATGGCACGTATGAAGATGCACAATGAAATGAAATGGCGGTTGAATATGTATCATATGTACAATCGAAAACAGCACTCAGTTCAGTTAAGATCATACAAAAACGTTTCCACATTTGCATTTAACGGAGCACATTTGCACAAAGTTTATCGTCACACGCATAGTTAAGCTTTAACATAGATGTACAAGATTTGCTGCACTACCAAAACATAGAGCTATACACCCACAACAGACCGACCATGGACCGACACACGCCCGTTCGTGATCGTGTCAATTCGTGTTTCACTTCCAAGCTAAACAAATGACGCTGTTCCAACCATTACAGAACATACGCCGGTTGAAAGGATTCAGTAGTAAACGACCGTTTTCTAATGAAGGTGTATCAAGGAAAAGTGTGAACTGGGTTCCGTATATATTTATATATCACGCCTTGTCGAAGCACACATTGTGTCGGGAACCTGACCGAAAGGAGAAATTGTCCGTCGCTTATATCATTCTAAAACGAAAGTTATCGCCCTTCGCAACGAAAAGATCTCCCCTGTCACCTCAAATAAACCGCCTGGGCAAAAGAGTATATATCCATGTATGATGAAGACTGGACAAACAAATAAATAAACAAGAAATGGTGTCGTTTTTTTCGATGAGGATACTTTTGATACGAATATCATAGGTGTAATGTTTTCAGCCGAGTAAAATTTTGACATTTTTCGTAATTTGCTCTTCACGCCCAACACCCAGGTTCGATTCCCTACGTGTAAAGCGGATTCATTGTGTACCCCTTCGTGAAACTGATGGGGCATAGAACCTAACTCACTCACTCACTCTTATCATGACCTTGTATAAGACACTGTCCGTGAACCAAAATGGTCACAATGTCCAAATAAATAAACTATTTTTGGTATCTGTTTATCAAATAATTGTAAAATTATGGTCCCATCCAGAGGATGTAACATTGTTTATTCTCACTGGGAGCGGATGCAGTTTTCAGGGTCGTTGTTCAAACTGCGCGAGAAGATGCGGGATCTGTTTTTAAAACCTGTAGCGTCAACTGACCTTAAGTTTACATGTTTCAAAGGGGGATAACTCTAAAAGCCCTTAACTGTTGACTGGTACCCTCTCCTAAGCTTACTCCGGCTGCACGTAAGCGCTCTGAAGCAGGCAAACCAGTTTACCTTAAACTGGCGCCGTTTGCAGAATACGCTTTGGTATATTTAGTTGCTTATGCCAGACAAAAACACGAGGTTTATCCAGCAAGAGCGTGTTCAACATGCTCCTTCTGAAGAAGAGATACAATGTCAATAACTGAGAAGTCAATGAACGAGTCCAAGCACCACATGGTCACAAGAGTGAAGAACACAAACACGTAGAACAGCAGCATCAAGGTGCTGCTCCTTTCCTTCCGGGACTGGCGCTTCTTTGCGCATGTCTTCCGACAGGTGGCGCCTCTGGTTGCCCGGGCGACGGCGTCCATGATGAGTGGTCGGGCACCTTCCCACTTTCCAGGGCCTGTTAGTCTGTATTGTGCGGGGACACACGGGCCGAAAAAGCATTTGAAAGCCAAGACGGGGTCTTCAAACATGAGCCTTTTAAAATTTGGTTTGACGCCAATTTTTGAAGCAATCTCGTCCATGTAGTCGATCCAGTAAGTCTGAAATTGAACGAAATATAATGACAGTTTCAGTTAGTGCTATGTGTAAAGCAATAGTTCAACTCGCTTTGCATATAAACTCGGAGGCAAATCAGGTGGTTATGGATGCAGTGTTTGTCCTTAACCCTGAAAAGCTGCAGGCCCGAAGGACACGCAATCATAACAGATTGTAGGTCTTGGTCAGAGTGTTCAGGCCCTATATTTTAGCTACGATATAAGTAATCCCCAGCAAACAAGGCCATACGGACCTACAGAAAACAAACCAAAGGACCGACGTTAATTTCGAACGCTGAATGGATGATAACTCTAAATATATATCGAGGTGTTACAGACATTCAGATCGCAAGTTTTTCTAACACATACACTCAGGGCTACTTATTGCCCATTCAGCAGGAGGACGACAGGGAGTGAGCACCACACACACGCACGTGTACACACACGCATATTTGCGAGACTTGACGTACATGTAAGGTGAGGTGAATTTGGGTTTAACGTCGTGCTTGAGAATATTTCGCTCATATGACGACGTGCATGCGTGTGTATGTGTATCTGCGACTGCTTGTACTAGCCCATACTGAAGCTGGTTTTATAGTGCTAGCCCACTGAGATACCATGCCGCAGTGAAGCATGAATACCCCACTCAGACACATTATACTGACTCCGAGCCGACCAGTCCTTGTTGTACCCATTAATGCCGAGCGCCAGGCAGGGACCAACAAGTACCATATTTTAACGTCTTTTGGTATGACGCGTCTCCGGGCGGACGCTCTAACCACTACACCACGGAGGCGGTCGTACATGTAAGGGGTTACCATTGTAACCACGATACAATTTAAGGCATTCGGTTTACATTTTCAATAGGAGTTTTGACGTACCAGTGTCTGCGGCACTTGAAAGTACATGAACAGTGAGCCAGCAAATCTCTGATACCTGACGTACCTGTACGCTGTGCTAGCAAGATATGACGTAGGCCTATACGATGTGCACGTGCCAGCGAGACGTGACGTACCTGTACGGTGCGTCTGCGAGACTTGAAGCACCTGTACCGTGTGCTATCAAGACTTGACGTACCCGTATGACGTGTCTGCGATTACCTGTATCTTGTGTCTGCGAGACATGACGTACCTGTACTTGTGTCTTTAAGAATGGGAGATTGTGTATACCTGTATGTTGTGTCTGAAAGACTGCGTTTACCTGTATGCTGTGTCTGCGCGAAAGCGTTTACCTATATGTTGTGTCTGCAAGACTTGACGTATCTGAACGGTGTGTCAGCGAGACTGTGTGTACCTGTATGTTGTGTCTGCGAGACTTGACCTACCTGAACGGTGTGTCTGCGAGACTTGATGTAGGTGTGGTTCATCAGGGCGAATTTCTGGGACACAGACTTCAGCATCACCTCCTTACTCGGCAAACTCACCTCCCCTTAAAAACAAAAACAAGCATACATTATTACACCATTCCAGAAATATCACCTTTCAATCAATCTACCCATGTGGTTTCCGCAGAAGAATCGGCATTAGCCGTGCTTGTCGGAAGAGTTCACTTCAATAGGTAACCGATGGTAACGATGCGTGACCTCGCTAATACTGTCATTATGTCCTGAGTGAGTGGGTGAAAGAGAGGTTTAGTGCTGCGTTAAACACTATTCCAGTTACACCATGGCGTGTCTGCTGAAAGTGGGAGCAAAACCCGAAGTGGTGCAGGTGTCAAAGTTTACCGGTTTGATAAAACCCACGAGCACAGGTAAGACGCTGATAAACTTTGAACATGGATTCGAACCTAGTTTTCTTGCTTGCCCCAAGGACCAAACTTTCCACAACTGCCCCACCTCCACCCGACCCCCTCACGGTATAGTCTACCCATTGCTTGTCGTTAGGCTGTGTAAGGACTGTCTAGTCAAGACCTATGGGTATTCACAAGACTTGATGTATCTCATTGGTCTGACTAGTCTAGAATCCAGAGATTGTGCTTGTTGTGATTAAGCTGAAACATATCTGACTACGTCGTAAAACAACATCCCATTCACGTTTACAGTCGACCTACCCTTGATCAGCTTCGTGAACCATCGGCACTGCATCTCCGATATTGGCATAATGGCGCCGATTGGTTGGACGAGTCCAATCACACTAAAAGTAGGGTGGGTCAGGTTGGTCGGGATCATGTACTGATAAAGGTGTGTCCTGTTGTTGTCAATTCTCAGCACATCTTCATCAACAATATCGAGTCGGTAGTCATAACCAGTCGCATATATCACGGCATCAATCTCCTCGAAAGTGTCGTCTGCGAACTCCGCGCCATCTTGTGTGAAGGCAGTTACGTTTGGCTTGATGCTGACTTTTCCCGTCACCAGATGGTAGGGAAGCTCGTCGTTAATGGTCGGATGTGCTTCAAGCGCCCTAAAACATGTATTTTAAAAGAATTAAGAATTATAAAGATTTCAATCAATGTTCCCTAATGAAAGACGTAATTCTTTGGCTTAGTTTCGCGCGAAACCAAACATTGCCAGTAAAATATCCACGACCAACTGCTTGACTATATCACTCTACTCAAAAACGTTATATAACATGTCAGCTCTTTTAGTAGTTTAATTGTTATCAAGGGTGTGTTATCTCCATTCAGTATTGACAAATGGCCTGTTGAACGGCACGACGCTAAAAATGAAATCCAATCAAGCAATTATCATGAGTAATGAGTGAGTGAGTATGGTTTTGCGCCGCTTTTAGCAATATTCCAGCAATATCACGGTGGGGGACACCAGAAATGTTGTACCCTTGTAAGGAACCGAACCCGGGTCTTCAGCGTGACGAGCGGACTCTTTAACCATTAGGCTACCCCACCGCCCCTCTCATGAGTAAGAGACATTCAATATGGCAATTGTGTCCAGGGTGTTTAACATATTCCTAATAGGGGTATAATGCCCTGGATAAACGAGGATGTACTGACTGCGGCGTAACACAATATTCACAGCCAATTGTCCATATATCACCGAACTTAATCTTACTGAAAGAGAAAGGTTACGATATTCAAACCGTACCCATGTTGAGGCGACAGACCAAACGTGTCATGGTCCACCTTGAAGTTGGCCTGTTTCTCCACGACCCACTGCAGTAGATTGAGAGGCAGTGAGAACACGAACCTACTGTTGGCCAGCAGGTCGGCAGGGATACCCTTGATGCTCGTCTTGCCGATGATCCACGCACCCCTCCGAGTGCTCAGGAACACCTACAGGAATGGGATACGGCAATTTAATAAACTGCAAAAGAAAGCATACACTTGAAATTGGATTTGACAAAACGTTACCAGGACCTTATTAGGCTGAAAACAGTCGCCGAAATACTGCAGACTTTTTATGGTTTAAACGGGGGCGATGGGGTAGCCTAGTGGTTAAAGAGTTCGCTCGTCACGCCGAAGACCTGGGTTCCACACATGGGTACAATCATTCGTGACCAACTCGTGTTATTCCGGGACAAGCCGAATAGCGAAGGTTACGGAAGGGGCGAGTGGTGACGAATGGAGGTTATGGAAAGGGGCGAGTGGTGACGAATGGAGGTTACGGAAAGGGGCGAGTGGTGACGAATGGAGGTTACGGAAAGGGGCGAGTGGTGACGAATGGGGTACAATGTGTGACGCCAATTTCTGGTGTCCCCCTCATTGATATTGCTGGAATATTGCTAAAAGCGGCGTAAAACCAAACTCACTCAGTCACTATGTCTAAAACGAAACGATGATACTCGTACCAAATACATCACAATCGAATGCTGCCATTTTAGCCCAAGTCAAACGACGGTGTCAATCACTGGATTGTCAATTTGTCTGGCAGTGAGTGAGTGAGTGGGCCAAAGATTACATTTTACGCCACTTTCAGCAATGGTCTTGCAACATCACGGTTGGGGACACCAGAAATGGGCTTCACACACTGTACCAATGTCGGAATCGAACTTGTTGTGACAACCACTTGACTATCCCACCGCCCGAAGTAGTAGTCGCAGCAGCAACAGTAGTAGTAGGTAGATGGATTAAAGAATAAGTTGCGTAAGGGATTAATGTTCTATGAACCAGAACTTCAAACACACCCAAGATGCTCTATCTTCGCCACCTGTGTTATATTTGGGTCGAATAATGAATTTTTAAGATTCACTCGGTAGTAGTAGAAGTAGTGGTAGTAGGGACAGTAGTAGTAGTAGCTGTCCTAGTAGTAGTAGTAGTAGTAGCCGTAGTAGCGATAGTAGTAGTAGCGGTAGTAGCTGTGGTGGTAGTAGTAAGGATAGTAGTAGTGGTGGTAGTTGTAGCAGGAACAGTAGTAGTAGTAGTAGTGAGTGAGTGAGTTTAGTTTTACGCCACACTCAGCAATATTCCAGCTATATGGCGGTGGTCTGTAAATATTCGAGTCTGGACCAGACAATCCAGTGATTAACAGCATGAGCATCGATCTGCGCAATTGAGAACCGATGACATGTGTCAACCAAGTCAGCGAGCCTGACCACCCGATCCCGTTAGTCGCCTCTTAAGACAAGCATAGTCGCCTTTTGTGGCAAGCATGGGTTCTTCACGGGTCAGTAGTAGTAGTAGTAGTAGTAGTAGTAGTAGTAGTAGTAGTAGTAGTAGTCTTCTTACCTTTGATGCTGCTCGGGACAAATCCACGGCAATATCTGCAGCGGAGTTACCAATCCCTGCAACCAATCAAATAGGACATCTGGTCAATATAAAGACTGGCTGTGATCTATTCCTCAAACACGTATAGGAACCAAAACGGTTCATCTTCACTTCGGTGTGAAACCGGACTCACATACTCACTCACTCATTCATATTTAGGAAAATGACTTTCGAACAGACAATCGTACATCTAATTGAAAAGACAAATGAATAAATCCATGAATTCCAGTTTCAAGAGAAGTCATATTGCATCAACATATATTGAGAACAATACAATGGCAAATACATTTTCGACCAAAAATTACAAACTTTTACTAGTGTGAAACAGAGCTACCGAAACACAACAGCTATATGGCCGAGAACACAACGATACTCGTATCAAATACCTCACCATCGGATAACATATCTTGCTTGTTTCACTTTCAGACATCACCAAAATGGGTTTGTACTTTCTTTCGCCAGGCAGTTTAGCAATAATATAACACACTAACTCTATGTTCATATTTAAATTCCAGGGTCCCGATCCACATAGCATTCGTAACGTTACGACCTGTCGTAACTCCACAGTTTATCGTTGGCTTACGAATGTCGTAGCGCTACGAACGCTTTGTGGATCGGGCCCCAGATCCGTAACAACATGACAGCACAGCGTCAGTGTCAGTTATAACAGAATTTACTGAATACTAATATGGGCGAAACTTGAAGTAGGTTCCAGATAAAGTACAAAATGCACAAAACGACTTCTAGTGGATTCATATCGGAGCTTCACGGACTAGTATCTAATATCCTATACATCAGGGCCTTGATTTCCGAAGCTCTCTTAGCGCTAAGATAGTCGTAAGTGCTATACATTAACATTAACTTACGACTATCTTAGCGCTAAGAGAGCTTCGAAAATCTAGGCCCTGGTCGTCACTGCGCTAAAACGATTTGTGAAAGTGTACAACCAGTGAACGGACGCGCACATATACGTACGTACACACACGCTCACCAATTCGCATCATTCGTAACGCTAAGATTCTGGGCCTAGATTTTCGAAGCTCTCTCAGCGCTAAGATAATCGTAAGTTAATGTTAATGTATGGCACGTACGACTATCTTAGCGCTAAGAGAGCTTCGAAAATATAGGCCCTGTATACTACGACTAGCGCTATCGTAGCTCCGATGTAAAACATAGTCGTAATTCTACAGTCGATTTGAAAAGCGAGCCCAAGCAATACAGACACTTAAGTACATGGCGACACAGAATCGCATGTTATTTTAATTCGGATCATATATATAATCCGCATTTGTTTGTTTCTTTGTTTCCTTGGTTCTTTGAAGGACTACTAAATTCTCACTTTTTTCATTCTCCGAATATTCTTTGTTTTGTTAGAAAGATGTTGGTCCTTACATTTATAGTTGAAGGTGTCATATTTTATCTGTGCAGGTTCCCTGGACGAGGAATTATATACCCAAACGTCAGAAACACTAACATCAATCACTATTATCAATCATTAAGCACAAAAACCTCTACAGACAATAACACTCGATTCGACCTTTCATTAATATTCATCAACATTCGGAGGTCAAGCACGTGACAGGTGCCCGTTGAGTGGTCAGTAGGAACAATCATTGCAGATTGATACAATCTTAGCATGGACAGTGACCACCGTAGCGTTAAATGTGTCAAGGTCAGTGGTCATCCCGCGAGAGTCTGTGTTACTGTAGGCTGTGAGAAATTACCCCAGTTTGAGCGTTTTTTACACAAAGCATCTTAATTCAGCCTTTGTTGCCAGGGCTACGGGGCATGGTGAAATATGCCTCCGCTTTCAGTGGGTTTCATTACTGCTAAATACAGGGGCTGGATGTTTATTTCATCACGTGACTGGATCAGGTTTTTTATGTAAAAATATCAGCTTTGGTTTTAAGTTTCGGGTAAAGTGCGAAACGACACATGCCATTTTCTTGATAATATGTTCGCCAAATCGTTATTTTTCCATTTTTTATAAAGAGGAAATATTATGAACATTGATAATAGAACAATACCAACCCTTCGTTACAAGCCAAAATACCGATAAAAACCATCAACACTGTTGAAAAATAGTTTCATGTACATCTAAAATGTTACAAAAATTCATAAAACATGATCTGATTTAATAAACGTCATTTATAGTAATTATTTCATTTCCGTAATGAGAAAGAATACTTACATAATATGCCAATCTGAGCAACCTCATGAAGCGATCGGAACAAAATACTTCGTTTATGCATGACTGTTATATTAAATGCGGCACAATTTGAGAAATCATACTTTGTCCAACAAACAAAATAAAGAATTTTTTTTCACACATACCGATAACGAGAACTCTTTTCCCCTTGTAATTACTTGAATCTTTGTATCCATGAGAGTGTATGACGGGTCCCTTGAAAGTGTCCGCACCCCTGAATGTCGGCGTGTAGGGGACAGAGTGGTGGCCGGTGCAAACCATCACCCCATCAAACACCCGAGTGAAGGGAGGGGCACCCTCAACACTCACCGTTACCCCCCAGCGACCGGTGGTGTCATAATCGCGGCATTTGCCTATGTTCCGCACTGTTGCGTTGAAGCGAACATGCTCCAGCAATTGGAATCTTTCAGCGTACAAACGGAAATATTTGAGAACATATTCGTGCGGTAAGAAAGGCGGAAAGTCGGCAGGAGTTGGGAAGTCACTGAAGGACATCATTTCCTTGCTTGTATTGATGACCAGATTTTTGTAAATGCTTGCGCGATCATTGGTGTAAGTTTCTGAAAAGTTCCAAAGACCACCAATATCGCTCCCTCTTTCGAAACAAACTGGAACCAGGTTTTCGTCCAGACAGGCTTTGACTGCAGCCAGCCCACTGCACCCAGCTCCTATGATTGCAATATACTTCATCACTGGACAACGTCTGACTCTCTGTCAGGGAATACATGCTACGTTGAGATCGGCCCTTTTATATCATGCTACTGGGCTGTCATGCGGGCCAGACGGTTGCGTTTTGGCGAACTGAACGCTCGTACTGTTCATGAACAACTTGTAATCCTTTTTTGTTTCAGAAAAGTTAAATGCGGTTTTGTTCTTAAATTGGACTGAAGACAATTGGTTGTATTAGAATGTATGATTCAAATCCTCAAACACAAGTTTCTTTGTCTGCTAGCTCAACATGTATGTATCAATCAGTTACTGTTTGTTTGTTTGTTTGCTAGTTGGTTTGTTGTTTTACGCCGCACTCAGAAATATCCAGGCTATATAGCGGCGGTCTGTAAATAATCGAGTCTGGACCACACAATCCAGTGACCAACATCATGAGGTCTACGCAAGCAAGTGGCGACTAACGCGATCTGGTAGCAAGGCATGCTGGCTTGTCATCGTATCCCAACTGCGTAGGTCGATACTCATGCTGTTGATCACTGGATTGTCCAGTCCAGACTCGATCCAGTGATCTTCACAGGTATTATCATTAAACTGAAACTTGTGGTGTTAGAAAGATGCAGGCCTGGAAAACTCGGGACAACCCCGTATTCAAACACCCAAACATAGGTTTCTTGCATACACAACTCTGCACGATTAATTGCAGCGCTTTAGACGACAGGGCCATCCGTAACCCCAGACATAACGAGAGTCAGCATGTAGAATGAGCATGTATTAATCAGTTACTGTTTGTTTGTTTGTTTGTTTGTTAATTTGTTTGCTTGTTGTTTAACGCCACACTCAGAAATATTCCAGCTATATGGCAGCGGCCTATAAATAATCGAGTCTGGACCAGACAATCCAGTGAACAACAGCGTGAGCATCGATCTACGCAGTTGGAATACGATGACATGCGTCAACCAAGTGAGCAAGCCTGACCACCCGATCCCGTTTGCCACCTTTTTCGACAAGCATGGACTGCTAGAGACCAATTCTAACCTGGTTTAATCAGTTATTGATAGCAAATGTTAGACATATAATGTCACAGTATCACACGCGATTGTAATGTAATACGTGGGAATTGAGGGTTACGAAAATGAGTTCCCAATAACACCCGCCTGAGGCGAAAAAACGGGCCGGGTGGTCAGACTCTGTGACATGGTTGTTTGCATGTCAACGTAACCCAGTTCCTCGTTGATGCTCATGATGTCAATCACTGGGTGCCTGACCTGTCTCGAATATTCATAGGGGAGATCGTGGGGGGAAATTAAAGAAAAAAAGAACTGATGCCAATATAATGTCTTGACCAACCTCGGCTTTATCCATCCCGACCTCGAGTCTTGAAATTCAGTGTCGATAGTTTGTGCCATTGTAATGATAGTTTTGTGTTTAAACAATTAGTATGTGAAGCCAATATAGTTGTTTGTGTTGGCCGATGTTATGGTCTTTGTGTTTAACTCCCAAAGGGTATCCAATATTTTTTAATTTAACAAAATTTAATAAATACCATGGAATTCAATTTCTGCCTTGTCTACACCTGTGTTTGTTTGAACAGGTGGCAGTGAATTGTCTGGTTATTTCTTTATTAACTACTAAAACGAAGGGCATAAATTTAAAACATTACAAGTTAAACGAACTGGAAACTGAGCGTAATATCACACAGGTTATGGTGTTATGGTGACTAAACCCAAATCAGTTACTTGACCAGACAGCAAGACGTATGTATGGGGAATAGTGAGTGAGTGAGTTTAGTTTTACGCCGCAATCAGCAATATTCCAGCTATATGGCGGCGGTCTGTTAATAATCTGGACCAGATACTCCAGTGATCAACAGCATGAGCATCGATCTACGCAACTGGGATACGAGGTCATGTGTCAACCAAGTCAGTGAGCCTGACCACCCGACCCCGTTAGTATGGGTTAATCATCCTTTATATTGGGACTAGACGAAATAAAAGGATCTAAAGGAAGTTAAATAACTATCAACATCCCATGTTAGTACTGAAAAAATGTTTGAAAACAATATTAGTAACAGACTGTGAAACGACGAGGTAATGTAAAACCGAGACTATAAATTAATCGCCGGCAACCAGAAGTTGCTGGCAATTGTTGAGATTGTTAACCGAAAAAATAAAAATAACATATACTTGTGATGAAAGGTGGTAGCCTTTGACGTTGTCTTACGCCCCATAGAGTACAAATGTAACCATCTTCCTTCATGTGGAAGACTAACTATATATAACAGTACAAAAGAGCAAAGAATTATTTAGATGCCCCCTCCCCAAGGTCAAACCCCAGATCAAAATAATAAACACAATATTTACATTTTCGTTACTTGGAGCATGTAGGTGAAGAAAACACGGTCACGTGACACGGGATGTCGAAGGGTCATGTCAAGGATATGTCGTGTTGCCCAGTGGTCAGGACAAAGGATCTGGAGTTGTATAGCTGACCTACAAGTCTATGGACTACGCTGTAGCGCCTGACACCTTCACGGTAGAACGATGTCGTACGTCTTTCCGTGCCAGCTGTCTGTACCTGCTGTCTGTCTGTACCAGCTGTCTGTCTGTACCTGTTGTCTGTCTGTACCTGTCTGTACCTGTTGTCTGTCTGTACCTGTACCCTGCTGTCTGTCTGTACCTGTTGTCTGTCTGTACCTGCTGTCTGTCTGTACCTGTTGTCTGTCTGTACCAGCTGTCTGTCTGTACCTGTTGTCTGTCTGTACCTGCTGTCTGTCTGTACCTGCTGTCTGTCTGTACATGCAATATGTCTGTACCTGCTTTCCGTACCTGCTGCCTGTCTGTACCTGCTGTCAGTCTGTACCACCAGCTGTCTGTCTGTACCTGCTGTCTGTACCTGTTGTCTGTCTGTACATGATGTCTGTACCAGCTGTCTGTCTGTACCTGCTGTCTGTACCTGCTGTCTATCTGTACCAGCTGTCTGTCTGTACCTGCTGTCTGTCTGTACCAGCTGTCTGTCTGTACCGACTGTCTGTCTGTACCTGCTGTCTGTACCTGCTGTCTATCTGTACCTGCTGTCTGTCTGTACCTGATGTTTGTACGTGCTGTCTGTCTGTACCAGCTGTCTGTGTGTACCTGCTGTCTGTCTGTACTTGTTGTCTGTGCCTACTGACTGTCTGTACCTGCTGTCTGTCTGTACCTGATGCCTGTACCTGCTGTCTGTCTGTACCTGCTGTCTGTCTGTACCAGCTGTTTGTACCTGCTGTCTGTCTGTATCTGTTGTCTGTACCTGCTGTCTGTACCTGTTGCCTGTCTCTACCTGCTGTCTGTACCCGATTGTTTTTGCCTATTTTCCCGAAAATCCAAGATGGCCGCCAAATATCAAAGAGTGCTGAAGTCCTCCCAGAATGGTCACCGACTATAAAAAATCTTCATTTGTTGAATTATGTGAGATATATTCGTCGTTCAAAGGGCTATTCCTAATACTTTCAAGAAATATAACAAACGAGATTTATATTTAGTAGTAAAAGATATAATTCATCATCCAATTAATGAAAATGTTACTGTTTTGATTAGTCACGTGACATCATTTTGTCAACCATCAGTCTCTGTGATTCTGAAGTCTCCTTTAACAGTTCCCATTGCAGTTACAGAGCGATGTGCATTGAAGTTGAGGAGATTTACAAATGCACCTCTTTGAGCATATACAGTCTATTTATCCCGGCTGTCAGTCCGGCTGTCCGTCATCATGTATGTCTGTATTGGCGATCTGTCCGGCTGTCCGTCAGCATGTGTGTCTGTATCGGCGATCTTTCCGGCTGTCCGTCAGCATGTATGTCTGTACCGACTGTCTGTCCGACTGTCTTCCTTTTGCAATGTCTGTCTGTCTCTCTATGGGTGTGTGTGTCTGTCTTTCTATGGGTGTGTCTGTCTGTCTATGGGTGTGTCTGTCTGTCTATGGGTGTGTCTGTCTGCATGTAAATGCGTCTTTCAATATGTGTCAGTCTTTGCTTCTATTGGTGTGTTTGAAGATGTGTTTGTCCGTTGGTCAGTCTACCTGCAGTTGTGTCTGTCCGTAGGTCAGTCTACCTGCAGGTGTGTTTGTCCGTTGGTCAGTCTACCTGCAGTGTGTGTCTCCGTTGGTCAGTCTACCTGCAGTTGTGTCTGTCCGTAGGTCAGTCTACCTGCAGGTGTGTTTGTCCGTTGGTCAGTCTACCTGCAGTTGTGTCTGTCCGTAGGTCAGTCTACCTGCAGGTGTGTTTGTCCGTAGATCAGTCTACCTGCAGCTGTGGCTCTCCGTAGGTCAGTCTACCTGCAGGTGTGTTTGTCCGTTGGTCAGTCTACCTGCAGTTGTGTCTCTCCGTAGGTCAGTCTACCTGCAGGTGTGTTTGTCCGTTGGTCAGTCTACCTGCAGTTGTGTCTCTCCGTAGGTTGGTCTACCTGCAGGTGTGTTTGTCCGTAGATCAGTCTACCTGCAGCTGTGGCTCTCCGTAGGTCAGGTCTACCTGCAGGTGTGTTTGTCCGTTGGTCAGTCTACCTGCAGTTGTGTCTGTCCGTAGGTCAGTCTACCTGCAGGTGTGTTTGTCCGTTGGTCAGTCTACCTGCAGGTGTGGCTCTCCGTAGGTTGGTCTTCTTGAAGGTGTGTCTGTCCGTAGGTTGGTCTACCTGTCTTTGTGTCTATTGGTGTGTTTGAAGATGTGTTTGTCCGTTGGTCAGTCTACCTGCAGTTGTGTCTGTCCGTAGGTCAGTCTACCTGCAAGTGTGTTTGTCCGTTGGTCAGTCTACCTGCAGGTGTGGCGCTCCGTAGGTTGGTCTTCTTGAAGGTGTGTCTGTCCGTAGGTTGGTCTACCTGTCTTTGTGTCTATTGGTGTGTTTGAAGATGTGTATGTCCGTTGGTCAGTCTACCTGCAGTTGTGTCTGTCCGTTGGTCGGTCTATCTGCAGGGGTGTCTGTCTGTAGGTCAGTCTACCTGAGGGTGTGTCTTTCCGTGGATCAATCTACCTGCAGGGGTGTCTGTCTGTCTGA